ATCTTGCATTTTATACAGTACCTTATCACATGGAATTATTTAAAGCATTTCCCAGAATTTACAGTAATGTGACTGGAGACAGATTTAAGTACACAATGCAGTTTAAACTCACACATTCCTGCAATATCTGAAGTTAAATGGTGTCGATAAAAAGATTGAGAGCCAAAAAGCTCCACGTAGTTTATCCGAACCGAAGCATCGTCTCAGCTAATCTGATCAATCAGTCCCTTTTCTATCAAAGTTCCAGTTAACTCAGCTCACACTTGAAGAACGGCCACTTAAATGAGATACACCGTCAATGCTGGCAACAGTGGAATTGTACCATCCCAACATGAGTCAACACCTTCACGAAAAGATGGGAAAATTATTTGTACTGATTGCCAGTGTAAGGGTTAACATTTATACTGACATTAAAATTAGTCAGTTGAGTTGCCTGTAGCTTTTTTTAAAAAAAAGAGCAGTTGTGTATTTGATTTAGTAGCTTCTAGAAATCCAGGGGTGTGATTTGTTACTGTAACTATATCACAGTGACCTTTACTTTAGTTAAGCTTGGTGTGGATCCCAATTGTTTAACATAGGTCATTATTCCGACTTAATAACTTTGCACGAGTACAGCGTTTTGATATACTATACTTTACCTCTAATTTCATGATTGCATTCTTCATGGTTTGTCTACAAATACACAGTTACAACATAAATCACGACATTTTACAGTAAAGTTCTTTGAGAGTTCTTTACAATATGAAAGGTGCTATATCAAATGTAAGGATTATTATTAGTTATGGTTCTGAGCTTTTGGGCATGCAGCAAGAGAGGTTTCCATTGACCCATTTGCAGAGTTCAGGGCCAAGCAATGAAGTAGTAAAAGTGCGAAGTGACTACAGGGAGGGAGGACTCCAGCCCACACTGTCCTGTTATGGGAGGCAGAATTGGCTTTGTGACAGGCACATCTTTTTGCTGAATCAAAGGTCAGCCTGGTATGCAGCATTGAACTTGTACCTTTAGAATATCAAGATGGTTGGCAGTCACAATCTGTCCTTTATAGATCCTTCCATCATGTTCAACACCAGATGTCCGTAAAAATGGAAAAAAAATAACAACAAATAGTAGATGAGTAAACTGAGGCTTGAGATGACAGCTGCTAGAAGACATTTTCTGGACTCTTGTGTTTGTGAATGCTCATATGTATAGGGTTGCTATCCATGTTGATTGGTTTGCAGAGAGGTAAGCAGCTGCTGCTCAAGCTCCACAGCTCCAACTGGTGAAGTGAACTATTGCTCACTTGGTGGAGATTTGTATCTCAGCAGGAGTGGGATTTGTATCAGTGGGTAGATGTATGGTAGCAATGCTCTTGTGCATTTTATTTTGAGATGTGCTGCTCACCAGGAAGCTCACAGGGCATTGTTGATACCTTCTACCCACTTAGCGAGGGCTCAAGCTTGCCCTTATCAGATGTCAAATCACCAATTTGTGCCTATCCTTCTTAGGAAGAAGGTAAGCGAGGTCTCATGGGGGCTGAGTTGCGTTCAAGGTAACACGTTTGGAATGTTGGAATCAAAGTCACCCGCTATGGCGGTCTTGTTTATCTAGTTCTTAAGCCTACAGTACCTCAAGGCAACAGTACTTCTACTAGCAGACCAATTAGCTGGCTTGTTACCAGTACTTGGAAAGGAAGACCAACCCTGCAAGACAAAGCCCTAATGGGTAGGATTATCCTAGCTAAACAAGCAGCAGGAAGTTTGCCAGACCGTGCTGTCAATGCCAGGCTACATGGATTTAGCTGGTTGAACTCCAGCGATACCCTAACATTCTGGGGTCCCCAAGTCTTGACCCTCGCCAACCTTTGCCTAATGCATTTTGGAATTAGGTAGTCAGGGTGCATCTCTCAAGGAAGAAAATGCATATTTTATTTCAGACATGGAAATTACCATGCATAGGCGGCATACATTTGTCGAACTCAATCTGATTTTTATACTCTAAAGCATGTGATAGGTTTCATATGTATAAGACACTTGGCTGACTCCCAGAAAATCATATATTAAGTATTTAGTTGTGGAGTCCTGTAACTTAGTGCTTAGAGCACTCTCCTCGCAAGTGAGAGACCTGGGTTTGATTCCCAGCAGAACGAAATGTTGGGCAAGTTTCCTTACTCCACACTCCTCTGTTTACTTAGCAGTAAGTAGGAACCCACCTGTTAGTCGATTGGGGGATCACTTTCTGGGGGTAATAATTATTTCAAAAAATAATAATAAATTGGTCACTTCAATCCATAACTGTTTGTGGGACACTCCTGTGCGCAGTTGGCTGCTGCGTTTCGCCCACAAAATATACAGAAATTCACTTTACAGTATATTCTGTGACCCGCTTTGAGACGTCTTGAAGACATGATGAGGCGCTATATCAAATGCAAAGATTATTTATATTGCAACTTGACTCAGACTTCTACAACACTGTTAGTGAATTGTACAAAATGATGTATTCTTTTTTCCTGTTGCCTGAGATATACGACTGGTGCCAGAAAGAGATTATTGGTATCCTTTGCAATTGCTGATGAGTGCACATTACTTTTCAAGTCTCAAGATCAGAAATATATCCAAGTGATCACTAAGCATTGCATAGTGGATTTAAAAGACAGGCACTTACAAACAGTAAACTGTTCATCAATTAGCTCTTCCCTGAATAGCACAAAGGCTCCACGTTCTTGTCTGCAGTTTGATGTAGCAGCCAAGAATTGGTAATCGTAAAATCCTGAGGATTTCTACTTTTTGGACTGAGAGTGTAAACTAAGAGGCAGTTGTACCCGAGAGTATGTTAACCCATCAAAATCTTTTAAATCACTATTTATAATGTTTCCTTGATAAATTGTGTTACATTTAAGGTTGGAGTATTTACTCAACTGGATAGGTACTGATTCATTTTGTGTTATACAACACTCATATTTAAGAATTTTGCAAATCTCAAATGCCTTGGTAAGCACAATATTATGCAAGCTAGTAGCAATATAAAACAGTATGCTTGGTATTTAATGATTCATAGCATTATTTAATTGTGCTCCCTATTTTGCTCAGAATTATTTTTTTTCTTGAAGCCTGAGGTAAATAAAATTAAATAAAACATTAGAACAAGAGGACAAAATCTTAAAATTAGAGTTAAGGCAGTTAAAAGTGAAGCCAGAAAATGTTGGAACACATTTGTCATACAAAGAGTTACATAATGGTGGAATGTGTTCCAGAAGCCTAAAAGATGCAGAATCAATTAAGGTGTTTAAAAGAGAAGTTAAATAGGTACTCGGGATTATGGCTTCAAGGGATATAGCGAAAGACAGGGTAATAAAATGGAGCTTCTCAGAACTATTAAAATAAAATGAACAAAAAGGCCAACCTATTCCTGTTCCTGTGGAGCAGAAGTCTCCAACCAGTCGATTACCACTAGGTGGCGCTCTCGCACATGATCAAAAAGAGGAAGGAGCAAGAAAACTGCGTTGTTATTGAGTCCAATTGAACGCAAAGCCATATTCACGAAAATGTCATGCATCATGATATAAAAATATAAACTTTTTAAATGTTTAAACTGCAATAAATATCGGTCCTTCCTCTTATTTTTATTGAGCATGCGTGAGATGTAATTACTTTATTCTGAAAACTGGTTTGGGTTGTCATGTCTGCTGTCTTGTGAGACTCAGTAACATAGGAGAGACCGTGTCAATTCCAATAACCTCATTTCTGTATTTTGGGTAATTATTAAAATTTATTATGCAACACTTCAAGGGCAGAGTGCGGAAAGAGAACAGTACTAACTGTTCTTTGGGTAGATGGCAATGCTCCAATGATACTTTTTGAATAGAGAATGGAGTTTCTCCTGATGTTTTTGGTTCATCCTCCTGCTGTGAAAGGCGCTATATAACTGTAAATGTGTACTGTATTGTATCATCTCCGTCTTGTGGTCAGTATGACTATATTTGCGATTGAATTTGGCGCATTCCAATGGCATTCTAACATTAATGAAAAATATGCTGTAATAGTATAGTCTTTATATCCCCACAATAGACAAAAAAGAAATCCTGTATCAGAAGTAGGCTATTAGAGGTATTGTTTCTGGGCCAAGGATTTTGTTTGCAGTCTAACTGTTCCAAGGAAAATCTACACGAGTCTTTCATTTTTTAAAAAATAAGCTATAAAAGTGTAGTTTGCCAATTTTCTGCAATAAAATTCTCACAAAATATAATCCATTCGTGAGTCTATAATGGTAGTCTAGCTCTGTACAATGTGTGCGCTTTTCACAGACCTAATATGAATGGCCAACAGGATTAAACAATACAACATTACCATCCTATCCTTGTTTGAATTAAAATGTTAACCAGGAGAATACCTATTCTATGTGAAAGAATTTTATACTTATTTTTGCATTAAAGAATGTAACCAATATGGGTATTTATTTTTGAGCCACTGTACATGTTTTACCAGACTATTAAAATCAAAATACATGCATTCACTCTGCTATTTCTTATTTCTTACAACAACAAGGACTTGCATTTATATAGCGCCCGTCATGTGTGGTGGTATCTTGGAGTGTTTCTTAATACCTACCAAAAATTAAAAGTGATTTATTGTGGTAAAATAGACTTTTCTCAAATACCTCTTGCTTACTCACTGAGAACATTCAGTATCAATGTCCTATTGTCTGCAAATAACAGTTACTACACTGCATATTAATTATTGCTTTTAAACATTTTGAGGCATTCTGATGTATAAGTTGCTATGAAAAGTTATTTCTTTGCTATTAGATTTTTTTTAAAACAATTGGTCACTCCACAATCCACAACTGTTTGTGGGACACTGCTGTGCACAATTGGCTGCCGCGTTTCACCCCCAAAATATAATCAATTCATTTTACAGTATATTCTGTGAAGCGCTTTGAAACATCTCAAAGACATGTTAAGGCGCTATATCAAATGCAAGGAATATTATTATAAAACTTTTTTTCTTTTGTTTTCTTCTCAGATTGTGTCAACTGGGCCAATTTGAAATCACGACAGGAGGTTGGGTCATGCCAGATGAGGCTAGCACACATTATTTTGCCATGATTGATCAGCTGCTTGAAGGGCATCAGTGGCTTGAAAGAAACCTAGGTGAGAGTTCCTTTTTTGTAGCTTTGTTCCATTTTACCCCTTTTATTTACCCCCTTTACAGCCACATCACCTCCTACCAATCTTGTAAATAGGTACAATCGCCACAGTTTATTATTTGCTAAGTTCCCATAGATTTGCCACAAATGTCTTACTTTGGTAGACATGATGATAAGGTGTCAGCTATACAGTATTTGTATTGCCACACAGGACGGCCTCCTGACGTGAAAGACGCTATACAAATGTAATTTGTTGCTGTTGTTGCCAGTATGTCAACCATCCCCAAACCCCACAATCATAGAAGTATAATAGGAGCAAAGTAATTGGTTTGGACACTCAATGATTTCTTTAAAATAACTGGGGAAAGGTGGGAGGGAGAGACTTATGTTGGTTCTTATGTTTCAGCGCCTTGGGACGTCCTCCCGACGTGAAAGACGCTCTATAAATGGAATCTTGTTGTTGTTGTTGTTGGTTGGTAAACTTGCCAAACTTGCTGATGTCCCATTATAAACACACACTGCCAATGTTGGTAACTCTTTTTGACAGGTAGAATTTCACCCTCCAGATTTGTTACATTACAATACAATAGTAACCTTTTTAAAGAATATGGAACTGAATGTAATTCACAATTGTGAGAGCTGAATGTTTTTTGTTATTATCATTACTTTTGGTCATCAACTGAGAAGTGAGGATGTGATTTTGAGAACCAGGATGGTGCCCCAAACTTAAATTGTTACCATAGTACCGGAGAAGCGGTGTTAGTGCAGTAGGTACGTTTTGCAACAAATGTATCCTGTAAGCACTGTCTTGCAGTTAATTTTCCATATATTTTTAAAAAGACTTTAAGTTTGAATATTTCTGGGAGAGAATGACGTTGCATCATCAACAATTTTAAAAATGAGATGTTAAAGGATCTCTGGATAAAGGAGATTTGTGGTGTGGTACCAAGCCATACAGACATGGCAGGTTCCAACTTCCATCTGTTGCTGACTCAGATGCTCTCAGATGGATAACGGAGGAGGGTTACACAATTAGGGACAATATCCCCAAGAAGAGAAGGAAATAAGTTCAGCCAGAGTTCCGTTCCTGACTGCTGTCCATTGACCTCTGTTGAAAAAGTAGAATAGGTGCAGACATAGTTTTTTTTCTCTGCATCAAAATGGTTGTGCTGCATTTTGTATGAGTAGGCACTGAATTGTGAGTATTCGTTATATTTCAAAGGTTTGGTAGTTGACACCCACCATTGTGTTTTTTTGCAATATGCTTGCCGTACTTGATTAAACAATGTGTCATTGTGATTGTACATTTGTTGTGGCATTGTTCAAGATTTATTCCAATATTGATGGTAATCTTGAAAGAGGGATTTAATTAGAACAGTTAATGCTGCTATGCAGAAATGTACGATCGTGATTTACTATTCCTGCAAATTGTGCAAATTTGCTTTCTGCTACCTTAGATCCAGACATCATGCAAATCTTTGTCACTTGTAGCTTGCCTATAATAATAATAATAATAATCCTTGCATTTGATATAGCGCTTTTCACGTCGGAAGGACGTCCCAAAGCGCTTCACAGAACACACTGTAAAGTGAATTGACTGTATATTTGTGGGCGAACGCGGCAGCCAATTGCGCACAGCAATGTCCCACAAACAGTCGTAGATTGAAAATGACCAATTTATTATTGTTTTTGGTTTTTGGAGGGATTATTATTAGGCTCTGTGTGGAGCAAGGAAACTTGCCCAAGGTTTCGCCCTCTGCCTGGAATTGAACTCAGGTCTCTCGCTTGCAAAGCGAGTGCTCTAACCACTGAGCTACAGGACTCCACGACATTTGACATTTTCTGTGACATTTTCTCATCTGTGACCAGGGCTCTCTTCCTCCTTGTTCTCTCTGCTACCTTCGACATTGTTAATCACTCCATCCTGATCCATGTTCATGGTTCTGTCCTATCCTGGTTTCATTCCTAACGACACAATACAATTTACATTTATATAGTGCCTTTCACGTTGGGAAGATGTTTTAAAGCACTTGACAATGCTGAGTGGGTTCCTGAGCAGGAGCTGGGCATCTTCACTTTGTCTCATCTAACGGCTTCTTCTTTCTCCCCCACACAGTCACATGTGGCACTCCACAGGATTATATCCTTGTTCCTCTCCTTTTCACTGTATGCTCCCACTTGGTGACGTCAACCACAGTGGTTCGCTTCCACTTGTAGGCAGATGACACCCAACTCTCTCAGACAATCCAGAATTCTGCAATTTGGGTCCTCCGCACCAGACTCCACTATCCAATCACTCCCATCCTCGCTTGGCTACACTGACTTTCCATCTGCCAGCAGATCAAATTGAACATTCTCATTATTATCTTTATATCACGGCCTCACCCACCCTACTTCTGCCAACTCCTAAACCCTACTGACCTGGACACTCCCTTCACTCAGCAAAGACTGGCCTCTTCATGTCTCCTGCTCTATCTTTCCTACCATCAGTTGGTGGAGTCTCGGAGTCTCTCTGACTCACTTCCTCCCTCTCCAGGTTAAAAGCCCACCTCAAGACCTACCTCTTTGACTGTGCTTTCATTCATCTTTTTCCTCCCACCCTCTTTGGCTCCCACCCCCAACTCGGATGCCCAGTCAGCAGTGTGAACCGTCAAAAGCGCTAAATAATTGTAAGCTGTGTTGTATTGCCACTGGCACCAGAGCGGTACTCATTACTGTAATAATGCTTTTCATGATGTTTGTCTTGCGCTGTTTTCAAGAGCTGACTGAAATTGATGTAAGAAAAGTAGTACAAGAGAGAGCAATATGCAATTGTGTGCATTTTGAAAATAACTTAATAACATGCTCTTTACTGGTTCACCCTCTCGCTTTGAATGTGATGTACAAGCCTTTTGACTTGCAGAGAATGTAATTTTAAATATGTAACAAATGTTCTTGTAAAGCAAGAGGGAATGACGGACTGTAAAACTAATGTAATATACCATAGAGTAGAGGGACACATGTTTGAACCCTGATTCTTCTGAATTTTCAAGGAACATCATACCAAGCTACTTTTATCTGACTGCTGAAAGCTGTAGGGAAGAACAAAAATTGGGCTTATGGCGAAAGGGGAATTGGAGGCAAAATATCCTGGTGAGGGAAACAATAATTGCACCCAACAAGGTTTTGGAAAATAGACCTTTTTTTTTCAAAAAGAGCCTCATTTGGAATATGGAAACTGTCAACACATGGCTGTGATCTATTTGGGAGGTTATTGAAAAAGTGCAGTTTCCTTTCGAGTGAAAATTGATTCTATTGGAGGCTAGTGCTGATTTTCTTTGATATGTTATTTCTTTGTCATATTACATAGCATTTTGAATTCTACAGCAATGAACATTGAGTACCCATAGCCTTGAGTATATAATTATACTGACAAAATAATGATTCTAGTTAATGTCTAAAAGATGGTTACTGACCAGACTGATGAAATTGTGTTCAAAGATATTTGACTGAAGGAAATACACAAATAAGATTGGAGCAGCAATGCTCGATAAATTAACCCAAGACCACAGTGTGTTCAAAGAGACTCTTTGGGCAAGTACATTTTTAATAAGAATGTCAGCAATTTCCAGCAAAAGAGGTTCTGCTTCCTGTTGGTGAAGCAATTTTATTACTACACTCCAATTAAGAATACAGAATTTGTATGATGATATGTTCTGCTCAACCCAGAGATATAAATCCCACACAACTTGTTTCCAAATCAAATCAATAGTTGTGAGCAAGCAGAGCTCCAAAGAAACCCTCTGCATTTAAAAAAACACTTGAACTAAAGGACTTTAAAATGCTTTAAAAGGGAGAATTGTTTATTAAGGACATTTGTATTGATTATATCATGCTTGATAACTTCATTTGGTTTGTATTTTACTGTGTTGCAAATAAAGCTAGTAACCTTTTTATCAATAAACATTTGGTCTGTGTCATATCTGCTGTTTGAAGAGAATTTAGTTGTGTGCCAGTGTAATGTCCAATGGAGACTAAACAGTGCAGGGTAATTTATCACTGCTATCATTCTGTAAGAGTACAAAAATAACAAAATATAGATTCAGAGTTCACAGGAGACAAAGATTATACTTGTAGAAACTGCTGCTAGGATATTGCAATAGGTGTAAACCCTCCAACTGTAATCTTTTACATTCTTTTACTGTATTACAATGGAGGATTATGTAGCTCTTCAAAAATGCTATAATAGTTTGAATAGTATCATAGAATCATACAATATTACATCACAGAAGGAGGCCGTTCGGCCCATCGTGCATGTGCCAGCTCTTTGCAAGAGCTACCCAATCAATCCCTCTCCCCCGCTCTTTCCCCATAGCCTTGCAAATTTTTCCTTTTCAGTACCTATCTAATTCCCTTTTGAAAGTTGTTATTGAATCTGTTTCCACCACCCATTCAGGCAGTGCATTCCAGACCATAACAACTGTCTGTGGAAAAAAATTGTCCTCATTTCCCCTCTGGTTCTTTTGCCAATTATCTTAAATCTATGTTCCCTGGTTACTGACTCACCAGCCAGTATACATAATGTTAGTTTGGATTACATATACATTTGCATGTTGTTTATTTTGAATTCACATTTGCCCCTATTGACTTTTAAATGGAAACAATGGATTGGAATATTTTGCCTTGAAAAAAGTCTTTTTCTCAGAAAAACTTGCTGAGAAACTTGAAAAAATCTTGTCTTTCTGTGCATAATAATCCTTGCTACGCCCTCCTTCATTCAGATTAAATTTAATTACATAATGCATTTTGTAATTTATCACAGGAGTAAAGCCAAGAGCAGGATGGGCTATCGATCCATTTGGACACACGTCTACTATGGCTTATATCTTAAAGAAGACTGGTTTTTCAAACATGCTCATTCAGAGGGTCCATTACTCTGTGAAGAAATATTTTGCCACTCAAAGGAAATTGGAATTCTTTTGGCGGCAGAATTGGGGTATGTATTAAATGAATTTACTAAACATTTCTTCATTGTGTGTAAGTGTGGAATATGCTGCCCAGAAGGCCATAATCTGAATGGTACCACAAAATACATGATTAATTAAGGTGATTAAAAAGGAGATAGATACCTGGGATATAGAAGTTTTAAAGATATGGATTAAAGCACAATTATGGGATTAAAGAGGCGAAGAACTAACTTTCTTATTGAAAGAGCACGATATTGTCAGAGATGCTGTCCTTCAGATGAGGCTTTAAAACTGAGATCCTGTGATATTTTTTAGATGGCATTACAAATCCCATTGAACTATTGAAAATAGAAGGGGGTTTGCCCCAATGTCCTAGCCAGCAGTAAAAATGATGATTCACTTCATGGCTGTTTATGCAATACAGTTTACATTTATAAAGCTCCTTTCACGTCAGGAGGACATCTCAAAGCACTTGACAATGCAGGCTGGGCACCCAGTTGGGTGGGAGTCAACGGGGGTGGGGAGGGGAAAGATGACCCAAAGAGCGGTTAAAGAGGTATGTTTTGAGAGAGGGCTTGAACAAGGGAAGGAAGGTGCAAGTCAGAGGAACTGTGAAATGGGATTCTGGAGAGTAGGGGCAGATTATCTGAAGCCCGCTCGGTGATGTTGAGGCAGATAGTGCAGGGGACATGAAGCAGGCTGATGCTCACTGAGTGAAGAGTGCGGCTGGATTGGTATGGTTAATGGGAGAGGTAGGGGGGACAAGAACATGGAGCATTGTGCTCAAATTTACTGCCACGTTTACCTACAACTATACAGACATTGCTTTGTGAAGTACGTTGAGATGTTCTTGACATTATAGACTTTTTTGGAGAAATGCAAAGATGTGGATCTTTTTACTACATGTATCATATAAATTATGAAATTTAAATAAACAATAAAAATATAGAAGGAAGCGAAATGCGATTAGATCAGATCGATTAAATCAGAGCTCTCTTTCTGTGTTGCAATTTCCATGAAGTATCTTAACAATAATGAGGTAGCTATTCTTGCAAACGGTTACTTTTTTCAAAAGCTAATAATAAGGGTGATGCAGTAGATGTAATATATTTAGATTTCCAAAAGGCATTCGATAAGGCACCACATAATAGACTAATGAATAAGGTCAGAGCATGTGGAGTCAGGGGAAAAATAGCAGAATGGATAGCAAGCTGGCTACAAAACAGAAAACACAGAGTAGGGGTAAAGGGTAGCTACTCAGACTGGCAGGAGGTGGGCACTAGTGTTCCACAAGGATCGGTATTGGGACCACTGTTGTTCACAATATACATTAATGATTTGGACTCAGGAATCAGCAGTACAATTTCAAAATTTGTGGACGACAGAGGTTAATACAGAGGAGGACTGCAACAAATTACAGCAAGACAATAATAAACTTGCTGAGTGGGCATTTGAATGGCAAATGCATTTCAATGTAGAAAAGTGTGAGGTGGTACATTTTGGTAGAAGGAATAAGGAAGTCACATATATGCTGGAAAATAAAAACCTTAATGGAGTAGAGGAGCAAAGGGATCCAGGAGTACACATACTCAATTCACTAAAAGTAGCAACTCAGTTAATAATAACAACAAGATTACATTTAATAAGGCCATAAAAATACAGTTAATAAGGCCATAAAAAAAGCAAACCAGGTATTGGGGTTCATTTCTAGAGGGAAATAAATGAAAAGTAGGGAAGCTATGGTAAACTTCTAGAGAACCTCGGTTAGACCACACGGAGAATACTGTGTGCAGTTCTGGTCCCCACATTATAGAAGGGATGTAGAGACACTGGAGGGGGTGTAAAGGAGATTCACAAGGATGATCCCAGAACTGAGAGGTTATACCTATCAGGAAAGGCTGAACATACTTGGACTCTTTTCTCTTGGAAAGAGGAGGATAAGGGGTGACCTGATAGAGGTCTTTAAAATGATGAAAGGTTTTGATAAGGTAGACATAGGGAAGGTGTTTCCACTTGTGGGGAGAACAAAACCAGGGGCTATCAATGTACAATTGTCACAAATAGATCAAATAGGGAAGTTAGAAGAAATTTCTTCACGCAGAGAGTAGTGGGAATGTGGAACATGCGACCACAAGGAGTTGTTGAGGTAAACAGCATAGATGTAGTTAAGGGAAAGCTAAATAGGTACATGAGGGAGAAAGGAATAGAAGGTTATGCTTGAAGGCTTAGTTGAGGAAGGGCAGGAGGAGGCTCATGTGGAGCATAAACACCTGCATAGACCAGTTGGGCCGAATGGCCTGTTTCTTTGCTGTATATTCTAATGTATTCTAATGTATAATAAGATAATAATTTGTTATATACATAAATATTACATATGTATAATCTGTTATATGTATATTTGTTATAATGTGTTAAAGTTGGTTGAATCCAATAGCTCAATTACGTTTCTCCTGACGTGAAAGGCGTTATACAAATGTAATTTGTTGCTGTTGTTAAAAGCGAAGTGCTAACAAATGGCTGACTTCTGGGTCATCATGTCCCTCTGACATCACATCCTGTGCACTGCATATGTTGCAATGGGCAAAGAGTGCTGCTGATTTCATCACGTCCTTTGCAAAGTGACATCAACAGTGCTTCCTGCGCTCAACATGTATGTGCAGCCTTCTCTTCGACCGTGCCTTCAGCTCCCCTCTCGACTCTCTAACCCCTCCTCGCTCCCTCCCTTCCCTCCCCTCACCCTGACCATTTCCCCTCTGCTCGGGTCCCGACCCAACTGTCCAGCGCCTTGGAACGTCCTTCCGACGTGAAAGGCGCTCTAAAATGAAATCTTGTTGTTGTCGTTGTTTAGGACATGATCTTTGCAGCAACCTAACAGCCTCAAAGGCGGCTTTTTTAATGCAGTAAGCTGATTAGTCAACTCTGGAAGCCGACTGAACTGCTTATAATAATAACAATAATAATAATGATTACATTTAATGGAAATCTTTTCACGGTCCGAGGATGTCTCAAAGTGCTTCACGTGATGTACTGTAAAGTGCAGAGACTCTGTTTTGGGGCAGCGCTGCAGCAAAGGGCATTATAATGGGGTTCCCCGATAATAAGAAATTCTTTAACCCAATATGTGCAAATATACAACTGCTCTGCAAATATAGCTGCTTCCCTGGAACGTTTGTACAGAGAAGTCCTATGTTGTTCTGATAACAATAGCAAGGTAAAACAATTTACTCCAATAGATTTTATTCTGAAATGCATTTGTTATTTGTCTCAGTTTTTAGGAGAGAATATTCTGAGACAGTTTTGAATATGATTCTCATGGACAAATGAAAAGGAATAGGATGCTTGAGGCCATGGAAACAGAATAGAGTGCTTGATGTATACCATTTTAAATTAAGGGTTGCCTGACTATTTTGAGGCTGTATTCTGCATTTCGATCTATCCTGTGAAGAGAGTGCTTTGAATGTGCAGTCAAGTCAAGTTTTCAAAATCTATCAATGTTGACTAAGTAAACAATTTGTAGTTGTTCTTATTCTTTCATTAATTTTATCCAGAGTAGAGCAGAAAAGAATGAAACAATATACATTTACATAACACCATTACGTAAAACAAATGTCACAAAGAGCTTTATAGAATGAGATTAATTAGAAATCATAGAATTAGAATCATAGAATCGTACAGCACAAAAAGAGGCCATTCCGCCCATCGAGTCTGTGCCGGCTCTTTGAGAAGAGAAATAAAGAGAATGTTGTTTTGGAGCCAAGCTAGCAACATCTTACACTGAATATATAATAATGAATTAGGTATAATGACATGAATATATAATAATGAATTAGGTATATTTCCATTCATATCAAGAGGACAACTCAAAATGCTCACAGGATGTACTGAAATGTGTACTGACAACGTGTTTTGAGATGAAGTGGAGTTTTTGAGTGAATTTGGATGGGGAGGGAATATAAGGCAGGACAACTGACAGATACTCCACACTTTTCTACATATAGTGGCAGAGGTCCCTCGATGTCCATCTGAAATTGAAGGTGAGAAACAAGGGGAATAGGGTGAAAGTGTGGAGCGGGAGAAATGAAAGATAGTAAATAAAATGCTATTTCTTCACAAATGTGGAGGAGTTGCAAAATCCTGTATATTGGCTTTGGAGAGAGTGCAGAGTGATTTCACAAGAATTAAGCCATGGTTTGCGGGGAAGAGGCTAACAAAAGTGGAAGACTGGATCAACTGGACAGATATTCTTTGAAGCTGAGGAATTTGAGTGGTAATTTGATTGATGTGTTCATTGTGAAGGAGCTTGACAAAATGGGTCAGCGACCTTTACTCCTAGTGGGTCAATCATTGAGTGGAGGACATGACCTTAAAATGAGAGCAAAATAAGTTACAACAGCAATAGCAATTTACATTTATATAGTGTCTTTCACACTGGGAGAATGACTCAATGCACTTCACACAGCTGAAGATGTTTCGACAAAGGCGAGGATGAATTCATTTTTATGGAGTATTTAGAATCTGGAATGCACTGCATTATAAAACCATGTATGAGATATTGGTTGAGGGAATTAAGAGAGATGAATAGATATTTAGGGAGTATATGTTAAGGGAAGTTAGTATCAGGGGAGGTTGTATTGTAAAGGCCACAGACTGATCTTGAGCAAGCTTGATGGGCCAAATTATTTTCTCCAATTCCTACTTTCCCATGTTTCTTGGACTTCTAACTCCAAGTTAATGGGATATGTCAAACTGAAGTAATCTTAGGTGTTAAAAAGTATGTTTAAACATTTTTGTATAACAAACTTAGGGAATTTTTACATTAATTTGTAGGTATTGGTTTACCTGATATTGTGATAATATTTAAAAATTATGAGTAACTGAATACCAGCATATTCATTCCCTCCTTGCTGTACCCTTGTCTATGCATTCTTTTGTGAGTTTTTGAATCGTTATTTTCAAAGGAATTTTAGATAGCCTTGCGTTAATTACAGCTGACTTCTTTGGCAGAATGAGGATAAGGTGCACTGATAGTTTTGCCCTCTACTCTCTGCTCTCTTTCTTTTCACTATTTTTCTATCCATGTCACAATCAACTTTTAATGTTATTAACTAATATCTTATGAGGCATCTTTGAATATCTATATCTACACCTTCCTTCAGGTTTTGTTTTCTCACACAAAATACACCGTCACTACAGTTTACAGTGTATCCTCTGAAGCGTTTTGAGATGTCTCGAAGATGTAATAAGGCACTGTATCAAATGCAAGGATTATTATTATTACATTCAGCTACATTCCCTTAATCTATATACCCCTCTCCATTCTTGAAAAAAATTCAATTAATCAAGCATGAACTGCCATTACAAATCCTTGCTGACTCTCCGAGATCAATCCTTGAGTACTCACAATTCCATCTGGTTTTATGCTCTCTAGGAGTTTACCCCAGTTTAACATCTAGGGTGGTGGAGAAGGTTCAGGGAGCACAGCTATTGCAGGAGTTTTATTGCTATTTCTTTCCTCTATCCTCCATCCATTACACTATCCTCATCATTTAATGCAGTCTCCTCTGAATTATTGATATGTTGTTGGGACTGTCCTGTATAAATGTAGAATGACCCTGAGCATGTGATTAATCAGACTTGACTACTGAAAAGCTTTTGCCAATACGTTAGTCTGTGAACTACTGAAGTAAAGAACATAGCTGAAAGAGGGAAAGGTTTTATGGACTATTTCATACAGTCTTTTAAAATGTTAAAGGAGCGAAGTTAAATTTATGCATGACTTCAACTTTCTGCTGTGTAAAAAGCAATTATAAGCAGATTAAAGTAAACTCAGCATTTCTTTTCATGCTCATGATGCCTTATAAAATATAAGGTAAATATGCTATACTATCTGTCTTCTTGTTAAATTGTGAAATACACTACATTCAGGCTCTGACCAAATAGTACAGATTTTGCTTGCAGTGAATCACATTTTGAATAAGTTATCTGCATTTTCACTTTCAAATTAATGCATCTGCATACGATTGCAGAATTGCCTGTTGACCCTAGTCCTCCTTTGTTGCCTAAAGCAATGATGTGTATTTTCTATGAGGTGTTTTCGCGATTATTGTTTATATACTTGTGCAGAATCAATTTATTTCTTGTGCAAGGTTACTGCATTTTTGTTGTTTGTATATCAGCCTCAAAACATAGAAGTAATAATATGTATTATTTATTATTATGATTAGGGCTGGATGGGACCTTGCTTTAATGTCTCAGGTGAGGGATAGCACCTTTGACAATGCAATACTCCCCAGGTCATATTCAATTACAAGAGAGTAATAATTCTGAATTTACATAGTTGGCCCCAACACACAACAAAGCCCCAGCAATGGCTCCTTGAGTCATTTCATCTAGGGAAGTGTTGCTTTGATGATGGCTCCAATGGATTTGTCATCATATAACAGACATTATATGAGCGAGAGTTTGCATCCTTTCCCTTATGTATTGAGGAGTGCTGAGGGGATAATTTCTTTCGATTTTGGATACCCAGTCTCAGTATCAACTGTGTATGCCGGCTAACATTCCCAACAACATGCTTAAATCCCTACCTCATCAGTATACATTTTTCTGTTTCACGCCAGACACCCGTACGACTGACCTCTTTGAGTGATGGTGGAGGTACTCTTTATTAAAAGCAGTAAAAGTTAATTGAGTGCTAAATGTTCTTCTGTCTCTGTAAAAATAAAATACATGTAAGAATTATATTTGTATAATTTTAGTCGATTTAACTAATATTAGTGTATATTTAATATGTATATGTTGTATATGTTATATCTAATATTTAAGTAATATTAGTGTTGTATTTTCACTTTTGTATGTTTTAACATTTTCAGATCAGAATGGAAGTACAGACATCTTGTGTCATATGATGCCCTTCTACAGCTATGATGTTCCCCACACTTGTGGTCCTGATCCTAAGATCTGCTGTCAGTTTGACTTTAAACGTCTTCCTGGGGGCAGAATTCACTGTCCTTGGCGAATTCCTCCAGTTGCAATACATGATGATAATATTCAGGAAAGGTAACCCGTCTAAAATCTTTAATTGTTAAATTATTTTCTATGCACAGTATGCTGACAATTACTAGAAATAACATTTTGCAAGCTTTATTAGAGAGTGGCATTGATTGAAAGCTAGGAGCAGCTTGCATGCCATATCCTCGGGAGAATAGTTTGTGCTTCTAGGATTCCCAAAGCTCCGTCACCACATTGATTTCTGCATTGTTCTCATTCTTGCATCCTTAAACAACTGCTAATATAAACACTATGTATAGCTAGGATACATGGATAGGACAAAATCGTTCCATGAAAATGCCAATTTGTGTGCAATTGTTGTCAGGTAAACGTTTAAAAACAAGAGATTTTGCCAGATGGTTGGTGAAGTTTTCCCTTCATTGTTGCTACTTTGGTATAGGAGCATTTTACAAAGTTTACTTTGATCTTTGACTTTTGATGTTTGATGTTGATTTTAAGCACTCCCAAGACACTACCTGTGTGAAGGACACTATATAAATGCAAGGTGTTCTTATTGTTGTTGATCCAGTTTTTAGATTTTTGGAATTGTTTTGCCCTTTATTAATATGCAGTGACAATAAATGTTATTAAAACTCTTTCCAAAAGTTTTTTATGCAAATAAATGTTAGCTTTTTAATTGTCGAATGGCCCTTTGAGAAATTCTGCTGTTTCAAAAAGATCTAAAGGCAGAAAGATTATTTGAGTTCAAAGTAAGGTTAAATGTCAGTTATAAAATCTAATAGTGGGCAGCTACAGAACTTTCAGAGGCTCCTATTTTTCTGGGTAACACATGCTTTAATCATCATTTATGCTAAAGTGAATAATCAGCTCTGAACATTTAGTAACAAACGTCAGATGTGCAACTATCAAGTGTAATGTCTCTTCACTGGAAAACAAGAAATATAACACAACGACATTATTCCAATCAGGCCACTCTCAGAAGCAGGAAGATGATTTAGTTAGTATGAATTTTTCTACGAGGACACATAGCTTGTAGAGCCAATAATGATGAAGGATGAAGATAGCTAAAAGTAAGAACTGTCTTTGAGGCTTTAAACCAGGGACAACATTGGAGGCTTCAATAAAATGTTCTATAGTTTTACCATTACAACCAACTAAAGGTTGATTCTGTAAAATAGTGAAATAATGAATCTCTCCACATCATATTTCCTTCTGTTACCACACAGCTGCAAAGAAATGTTGCATTGTTTTCGTTCAAGGACACAGAATTCATCATAAATCCTAAGAGAACAGTTTGTTTCAGCCTAAGAGACCCATTAAATCATTTAAACCTTAGCTTCATCTAGTAACTTAAGTGATTCCCAGATGTTGCAGAGTAGGCAGCCTCATGAGACTGAAGCTAATGGTTTTCATTTAAGAAACAGCAAAGAAAGAAAGAGCCACTTTCTGAGATTATCCATGAGCAAATGTATGATTCATCCACAGTCAGATGTGCATGCATATCTGCATGGAAGACCACAATTCCTATGTGCCACTCTCGAGAATAGCCCATAATAAGGACTTAAGTTGTCCCAAATCTATCAATTCACCATGCAAAGGTTTCTTTTATACGAGAACAACTAACAAATTGCCAAAAGAGCAAATACTGAAAGCTGAGATTCAGTCAGTGCTTCCAGAAAACGACTAGGGTAGAATAGGTTTAAGGATATCTCAAAGTGCTTGACAAATTTTGTGGCGGAAACCAAGCATGGAAATTAAATTTAAAGGTGTTGACCAAAGGCACGGTCGAAGAGATATGTTTTTAGGAGATTTTTGATGGCAGGGAGAGAGAGAGAAAATAAAGAAAGTGATTTGGGAAGACAATTCTAACAAACAAATATAAGGGGCTTGTGGCTTGAAAGCTCTAGTCTGGTGTGGGAGTGAAGGAAGTGGAGAATGAGCAATAGACCAAAGTCAATAGATTGGACGGTATGGACATTCCATAAATAGGGTGGGTGAGGTTATGGGGGGATTTGAACACCAATATAAAGTTTTTAAGATCAATTGATGGTCACAAGTAAATGAATAACATTCAAATCACATCAAGTGATCCTAAACTTGTACAAGACAGAGGTCCCACTCTACCTACAGTACAACATCCAATTGATCAAACATTATAGTAAAGATATCTTGGTACTGGCAAGTATTCTAATCCCAATTCTTGGTTCTATTCCTATAACCTTTTACAGCTTTACAATTTGTTTAAGCTTGTGGAAGTAATTTTGTAAATTTTCTGACAGTATTTATACATTTTACAGTGAGAGGGAAGATTAGGCAAATACAACAACAACTTGGATTTATATAGCGCCCTTCACGCCGGACGGCGTCTCAGAGCGCTTTACAGTAACGGATCCCGGGACCGAGCCAGGGGGAGGAAGGTGACAAAAGGCGCGGTCGAAAAGAAAGGTCTTCAGCAGAGACCTGAAAATGGGAAGGGAGGGAGCGAGGCGAAGGGAGTGAGGAAGTCAGTTCCAGAGCCTTGGGGCATAGTGGCTGAAGGCATAGCCGCCGAGGGTGGAACAGAGGACTTGGGGGACGAGGAGGAGGCCAGACCTGGAGGAACGAAGCCAACGGGTACTGTTTTGAGGAGAGAGGAGGTCAGAGAGGTAGGGGGGGTGCAGACATCCAGTGCAGTCTGACAAGGACTGGGGTGATCGGGAAGCGGAGTTTGGTGCAGGTGAGAATGCGGGCGGCAGAGTTTTGAATGATTTGGATTTTATGGATGGCAGTGGATGGGAGACCGGCGAGGAGGGCATTAGAGTAATCCAGCCGAGAGGTGACAAAGGCATGGACCAGGGTTTCAGTGGCTTTTGGGGAGAGGTATTGGCGGAGACGGGCGATGCGTCGGAGGTGGAAGAAAGCGGTGCTGGTGAGGGACCGGATGTGGGGCAGGAAGGATAATTGGGGGTTGAACCTGACGCCTAAGTTGCGTACGGGTTCAGAGAGTTTTATGGGGAGGTCGGATAGGTGGAGGAGGTGAGAGCCGTGAGATTTTAGACGTTGACGGGAGCCAAAGTGTATGGCTTCCGTCTTGTCAATGTTCAGCTGAAGGAAGTTTGTGCTCATCCAGCCCCTGAGATCTGACAGGCAGGCTGACAGAACATCTGGGGGTCACGAAGAGAGGTGGAAAAATAGAGTTGGGTATCATCTGCATATATGTGGAAGTGTACCCCATGTCTGCGGATAACATCTCCAAGAGGGAGCACGTAGATCAGAAAGAGGAGGGGGCCAAGGATGGATCCTTGGGGTACCCCGCAGGTAAGTGGGTGAAAGCGGGAGGAGAAGCCGTTTGTGTAGATGTATTGCTGGTGGTTTGTGAGGTAGGACTCGAACCAGGCGAGTGCGGTCCCAATGAGGTGGATGACGGAGGAAAGGCGGTGGAGGAGGATGGTGTGATCGACTGTGTCAGACGCAGCAGAGAGGTCCAGGAGGACAAGGAAGCAGAGGGAGCCCTGGTCACAGATAGAGAGGATGTTGTTTGTGACTTTCACAAGCGCAGTCTCTGTACTTTGGGCAGGGCGGAAATTCCCGGCTATTGTATGCATGGTACAACAACAACAGCAAGATTACATTTGTTGAGCGCCTTTCACGTCGGGAGGACATCCCAAGGCACTGGACAGTGTACAGCATTTCAGACCCGAGCTGGGGTCGGGGAGGAGAAGAGCGCAAGGGGGGTGGCTGATGGCATGGTCGAAGAGGAGGGTCTGGAGGCAGGACTTGAAGGAGGCTAAGGAGGGGGCGAGGTGGAGTGATTGGGGGATGGAATTCCAGAGGTTGGGAGCAGAGTGGCTGAAGGCTCTCCCGCCAATGATGGTGGGTCGGGGGGATGTTGAGCAGGCCAGAGCCGGCTGAGCGGAGGGAATGGGCGGGTTGGTAGGGGCTTAGGAGGTTACAGAGGGAGGGTGGGGCAAGACCATGGAGGGCTTTGTAGGTGAGGACCAGGATCTTGAACTGGATTCTCTGAAGGATAGGGAGTCAATAGAGTCGGACGAGAGTGGGGGAGATGGGGTCACGGAGTTTGGTGCGGGAGAGGACACGGGCTACAGAGTTCTGGATTATCTGCAGCCTGTGGAGGGAGGAGTTGGGAAGGCCGACAAGCAGGGAGTTGCTTGGAGGTGATGAAGGCATGAACAAGAGTTTCAGCGGCCTGAGGGGTGAGGTAGTGGCGGAGTCGGGCGATGTTACGGAGGTGAGGGAAGGCAGAGCGGATCATGGTTTGAATGTGGGGAAGAAAAGGCAGTTGAGGGTATAACAAGACACCCAGGCTCCTGACTGGCTGGCGAGTTGTAATGTGCAAACATGGAGGTTGATGTTGCCAGAGCCTGAGGTGCTGAGGCGCTGGCGCGAGCCAATCAGGAGGGCCTCAGTCTTGTTCATATTCAACTGTAGGAAATTTCCACTCATCCAGGACTTGATGTCTGACAGGGAGTCTGTCAGGACAGCAGTGGTCCTGGATTCGAGAGTGGAGGCAGAAAGATAGTGTTGGGTGTCATCCGTATACATGTGGAAGTTGACCCCATGTCTGTGGATGATGTCACCAAGGGGGAGAAGTAGATATTAAAGAGGAGAGGGCCAAGGACAGAGCCCTGAGGGACGCCAGATGTGACAGTGCAGGGGCTGGAGGAGAAACCGTGGGTAGGGACTGAGCTGCATGTATAAGGGTTTATATTGATGATATTATATTGACTGTAGCAAACCTTCCTTTGCCCTTGCTGTGACTCCTAATAAACAAACTCACAATTGAATTTGCCCATTTAAGAAATGTTGAAACTCATTGATGTGTGTCATAAAAGGATTAATCCTGGTGCTCTGGATCAACTAGTAGCAAGTTGTACAAACTCAGGACACACTGGGTGCGTTTTGATGCAAGACTGCTGTTTCATTCTTATTTTTAATAATCACTGGTTTATATCAGATTATATTAGATTATACCCAGTTCACAAAAAGCACATATTTGGATCCAAAAGGAATTCCTTTTCTATGTTTTTAAAGATTAAGGAGAGAGAATACCTCAGGAGAATAGAGGAAATAGCTGAAACCAGACAAAATAAAATTGAATTGTTGGAGGTTGGGATATAATTTGGAGATGAAACACAGAAGCATATATTGGAGAGGTTGTAGAAACTCAAGATAGGTCAGACTCCTGGTTCTGACAATGTCCTTCAAAGGTTCTAAGGAATGAATAGGTTTATGTGATTGTGAATCCTTTCATTGATAATTTTTGAGAGTTTTACCCGGCTTAGTGCAAATCCGAGCAAGAGCATTGGAAAATAGCAAATATGACTCCCACCATTAAAAAAAAGTGGCTGGGTATTAGTCAGTCAAACTACAGACCTGTGAGCCTCGTATCTGTTGTGGGAAAAAAACATTTGAAACAATGGTGAGCAGGAGTGCAAGGGGTTATCTTGAAGTGTATAGGTTAAACAGAGTCAACCTTAGAAGTGCTCAACAAATTTACTGGATTTCTTTGAGGAAGTTTCAAATCTGTTATATGTTTTTGTACATATAGGGAACAATCTGCAAGGAGAATAGATAAAAGAAAAATGTAGAATATACATAAAAGATGAACTTGAAGCACTAGCAGAAATCGGGGTCACTGGATTTGCCAGACTTTAAGAGTTATAATAAGTTATATTGAAAGAATGGTACATAACTGTAGTAAAACTCATATTTATTTGTAATAATTGTATTATTGTATCGATTAATCTTATGCTTCACTAGAAACAATGTTCTATTTGTTTGTCTTTTTTGAAGAGCACAGCTCCTCTTGGACCAATATAGAAAAAANTCTAAACTTTTCTCCACCAAAGTGGTCTTAGTTCCTCTTGGAGATGATTTTCGTTACGACAAATCGTCTGAATGGGATCAACAATTTCTAAATTACCAGAAGCTGTTTGATTATATGAACTCTCATCCAGAATTGCACGTGAAGGTAATATTTGAACAATATATTTTTAAGCAATACATTTGTCTTGTAAGATCTTAGTCTTTGCTTTTGTTTATTGTCATTTTAAGTTATTTGTTTAAGAATCTCCATTTACAAAGTGGATATTTCTGAGTCCCAAAATTCTCTTTAGCCTACTTTTGTCAGCATTGGATACAATTCTAAAATTCAGTCCTAATTTGGAATCTCTTTTTTTTAACTGCAGCTTTGAGATTAAGACTGAATTTAAGAATACCCAGTTCTGTGCCATCTTCAATTTTAACCCAAAACATAACATTACAGATGAGTTAAATTTCTCTCCTCGGATACCCAATAAGAGAAAATAACCTGAAGATATGATCCCTTCAAACATTGTCCACAATATGTGAAGCCTTCCTTACTAAGATGTATACAGAGCCAGTTTCTAGTAGTTAATTCTCTTTCCCCAGAGGTATCAGCAGCAGTCATGGTTGTTGGTTACTGCATCAGCGCTGTAGTGCTTCATGCTGGCTTGAATCTTAGGCTGTTGAAGTCCCACAGACAGGTTCCGCACTGTTCAAGTGTTCTTCTGTACAGTTGTGGTATTCGGAATTAAAATTAGAATTAAGTTGGTTAAATTTGAATCCAGAAAATATTTCTTCATACAGTGGATTTTGAGAATGTTGATAGCACTACCCAGATGAAGAACTAATTAAGTATTTGAAAGGGAGTCATATATATATAATATATGTATGAATATATATATATACACACATACACACACACTTGGGAAATAATGGTTTCAAGGGATATGGAGAAAAGTAAGGAAATTGGATTAAAAACATAAAGGGCTGCCATGAACCATTGCAATAACTGTGCAGGCTTTGGGTTACCTAATCTACCATCGTTTCAATGTTCTAAAGATAAATATTAATCCTTGCATTTGATATAGCACCTTTCAAGTCAGGCGGGCATCTCAAACCACTTCACAAGATTTATTGTAATGGTAATTGATTACATATCTTGTAGACTAACTCAACAGCCAACTTGTGTGCAGAAGTGTCCCACAAACAACCATGAGGTCGCTGACCAATTTTATCTGAGGATTGTTGGGGAGGACAATCATCCCAGTCCTCAGCAGGTTCCACTGTCCCCTTGTCTTCCAGTGATTCCACTTCAAGATCTTCACTCTCGCCAAAAAAATCCCTTCATGCCCATCAACTCCCTATCTCTGTGTTTTTCTCCAGCCTCATTCTCCCGCGCTCTCCCTCCACTCAGCAAACTTGGCTATGCTATACGGTCCTTGCACTCCCTGCCCTACCATCAATGGCCAAATCTTCAGACAATATACCCTTCCTCAAGCCCTCAGGTTTCCCATTCTCTAAGCGCTTTCAAAAGCCACCTAAAAGCTTAGCTCTTCGACTGTCCCAATGGTCGCCTTTCCCCTCCCCCTCCCTTCTTCCCCCTCCCTCCTGCCCCTTCTCCCTCTGCTCTGGAAAGCGCTCTGAAATGTCACTCCATGCACTACATAAATGCAGGTTGTTGAATGATGAAGAGCATTACATAACCTGATATAAATATCTATTGTTCCCTCTTAATCTACCTCTCATTGCTCCTTCTGTTTGTTGTTGCTGGAGCTGCTTTTATTTTATTTTTGTGCTTATTGCATTGACCACTTGGTAGTCTTAATGTTGCTTCTTCTGAAAATAAAAGTATGGTACAGAATGGAGTAGGAAGCATTTTTGATGAAGGTTACTACGTAAATTATTTTTAACAAACTGAATCCCAATATGATGAAAAGATTGAATATTATGTGAAGGTGGAACTTTTTAAGAGATGACCATTTTTGTCTTTGAAATCTAGCTTCAAAGTGATTAGATTTGAATGTTATTTAATATACTTTTCCACTATTTATTCCTAGCAAAATTATTTATCAAAAAAACTGAACAAATTAATTTGGTAAGATATTTGCATAAAATGAATTTAATATTCAACATATTAATATTGGACAACTTAACATATTGGTATTGGTAAATTAGTTTGCAAGAGTGTGGAAATACCATCCACACAGTTCATTTTTGAGCTTATCTCCTACCTAAGTAGGCTAAACATATGCCAAGGGACTAATCTCTAATTTTATTTAAGATTTGAGCATAGTTAATGCTAAAATAAAATTTTGAGATACATATAATATTCAGATGTATCTGTGATCTGTAATTGTATTTTTTCCATTCAACGATGTTAAACTAAATATTTCAATTTTGATTTTAAACAAATTCAGTGACTAAATCGATGGTGGGAAGAAATATGAAATTGAAACAATTAATGAACTATCAACATCTGCATGGGATCATTCCACACACACTATGAAGGCCTGCTCAGTGCATAAAAAATAATTGTATTGCAACTTTGCTAATTCAAGTGAATCTGAGGAGACATGCCTGCCAAAGCCTAGCAAGCCCTCAAGTAATTGGAGGGATCATAGAGAGCCTGCAGCCCTGTGAGTCAGACTCCTAATGAGTTGGTTACCCTCCTCTGAGTGCAAGTTTTATTGCATCATTTACATACAACATCATTTAAGAAAAATCAGCCTTAATACTTTTCAGGTCTGGATATTTACCATGGGATACATTTTAGCAATTTTTGCCAAACAGTTTTGTCATCCTAGCTATAATCATTCAACTTTGATGCATATATTGGAAATTTGTAGAAGGTTTTATTAAAGCAAAACTGACTGCATCTTATTATGATGTGGATTGAGATACTTTGTTATAGATAAATCTATTATAACATTTATGTTGGTATATATAGCAATATATAAACTGCCATCACTTAAAATTGACAATCATTTCTCTTTTTAACCACAAAATAGCTATTGCTAAATAAAATGAGAACAATGGAAACCAGTGTGTGGCAATTTCTAATGGAATTCATTTAAAAAAATCTAGAAGTAGAAATTAAAGGAACTCTCCTCCAACTCCATATACCTCTGGAACAAAGTTCTCTGAATCAGTGATAACTTCCGGTTATCAAAAGGAGCCCCTATTCTAATTCCTTATTGAAGATTTCTATTAGAAATTACTGCATATTAAATTCCTATTCTTTGTGATTGGGACATTCCATTTCTATATACTTTACATTAATGCTTCAAGACTTGCCTTAAGTAATGGAATAAAACTGGTTCCTCATTAAATAAACAATGGTCTAAACTCATCTGTAGAAGCTTAAAACATCTGTTAAATTATTTAAAGATTGCATTTTCACATTACAATATTGTTAACTGAATGAATATTTAGCAGTTCCTATTCTGTTTCTAGGCTCAGTTTGGAACATTGTCAGATTACTTTGATGCGCTCAATAAAGCTGCTGGTTCAAGCATGTCACCATCACCTTTTCCTATTGTGAGTGGGGACTTCTTTACTTATGCAGACAGAGATGACCATTACTGGAGTGGATATTTTACCTCTCGACCATTCTATAAACGACTAGACAGAGTTTTAGAATCTCATCTGAGGTAAATGTATTTAAAGTTTATAAATTTTTCCTTTGATATTTTCTAAATAAATAACTTCTGCACTATTGTAAACAGCACTGATTTATTTCTCTGCCATTGACAACACATGAATAAAATGAGGACTATTTAATTATATTGTTTCTTTCTCTCTTTAAGCCATATGATATGATGACTATTATTATTAATAATAATCCTTGCATTTGATGTAGCACCTTATCTCATTGTCAGAACGTCTCAAAAGCTTTACAGAAATTCTGCAAAGTGTAATGACTATATATTTGTAGCCGAACGTGCAACCAATTTGCGTACAGCAGTGACCACAAGCAGCTTTTGGTGAATGAAGAATTGTTCAAAGAATACAAAAGAAAATAAGGACTGAAAAAGGGGAATTCAGTTCATCAAAGCTAATACTTTCACAGCTACAAAAACCTAACCTTTCATTGACCTCATTTAATCTCGCGGAGGAACGTTTTGCACAGAATGTATTTCCCAGAACCCCAGAGGCAATTGAGCAAAGGCAATGGTATATCTATCCATCCCTGCATCTTCTCTACTGATCCCCAGCCACTTTTGTTGAATTGCAACCCTTCCCATTACTTGGAAGAGATTTAGATATAAAGATGTCAGTGGGAAAGTTGAATAAACCTTTTGGCTTACACCTTATATTGAAACCTAACTGAGGTTCTATGAATCTCTCAAAAATCCTTGGCCAAATGAACACCAGGATATATCACTGTACACCTCTTCACTGCAATCAGATTTTAAAGAAAGATTACTCTAGGTCAGTCAAGGTCTTATTGGGTGACGAAAACCAATTTTCATCAGTTATTTCCCTGGAGCAGAGTATTATTGGATGTTAGTGTGGAGCTCAATTAATTTAGATGGTTGCAGAAAGATTTTTAGTAAGTTAATTTCCTTTCAAAGCCAATTGATTCAGGTTATTAGAATGCCCAAGTGTGCCTGACTGGTAAACCCATACTTTAATACATCTTGTTCATAATGCAGAATTTTATTTATTTCAAATGTAGATCACTTTAGTGGCTACTTGTATCCGAATGACCCTGACTTCACGCATATTTGTACAGATTGAATTTTATCAAGAATGACAAAGAATATATTCGCTTATTATTGTTGACAGGTGAACATTCCCTAAGAGTCCAGATTGCAGTTTGAACAGTTGGATATATAATTCCTTTAAGATTAACTTGATTTATTCCATTGTATTCTTTTTGATCATATCTTAATTGTGGCTGAGAAAAATTACTGTCCCTTCCTGCTAATACCATGTATACAACCCGCTGATGTGAAGCATATATTAAATGGCTGCAGATTCCTACTAATATTAAGGTCTTTTGCTAGGCGAATCCTAGTTTCTTGGCTGGTTTGGCTGCATGACTCAGTGTAAAACTAACAGAAGCAACTTCAATTGCCTTTTGATGTCAACCAGCTATTTGATGAGCAGGTTGAGGAGCTATTGGAAACCTTCAAATGCTATCTGTGATTTAGCACCTGAGGGCAGAGCTGCTGCTTGTGGGTCAGGGTGCTCTATTGACAGGTTCATACAGGAACATCAGCAGTCCTTTCCTCCATTGGTTGGAATACAGAGATGCAGTGCCATAATCCACTTGGGTCCATACCAGGTCCACAGGGAGCTAATTGCAGCTCATTTCAGATTTTGGTTTTCCTCCCAGCCTTCGAGCAGCAACTTGTCTTTTTCATTACCACTAGAGAGCCGGGTGGGTCTTTGCTTCACAATTGTTTGTAGCACAGTGGAAACAGATTACATCAGCTACAGCATTGGGATCTTGGCGTCTCTAAAGGGAGCCTACCCCCTCCTCCAATTTTGTGCCTATGTATGTTTTCATCATCATTCATTCCAACTCTCGAGAGGATCCTTGGATGGTGGTGATTTTGACTGCCAAGGTTCAATCTCCCTTGTCCTCTGTGACTATAACTATAAGCAAAAGAAGCCTAAACACCCTGACAGCTCTCTACCTTCTTACAGCTTGAGTTGGGCATTAATAACTGTTGCCAGATAATATTTTGTCTCCCTTATTATAAATAATAAATAATTTCTACACAGATTGCTTCAGCCATCTCGCCTTCTGCTGTTATTCCTTTGAACATCTGTTATATTCTCTATTACCAATAATGCTTCTTATTCTCTACTTAGCTCCATGTGCCTTTTCTTGTGAAATATTTTATATTGTCCTAGCTCCATCTCGTGGGCATCTTTCATTCTGAGCCATGCACATTCCAGCAAAGAACAATGGATAGTGATCATGAGTGGGACCGTTGTTTGATTTTTTCCCTGCTCCCTTTAGCCCAGGGATGCTGAAATCACCTAATCACTGCAGATCAGAGATCAACGTTGGGATCTTCCTGGTCTATATAGATGCCACTGTATGTCATCATGCATTATTATTATTTGATGAAACCACACTTAACATTCCAATAACATTCCAATCACTTAGTCATTCATTGTAAAGTCATGCCACTTTTGATTGGGTTATGGAGATCAAATAGAATTCCTCCCAATGGTGGCCGTGATTTCAGTAAAGCAATCAGAATGGTTCCAGGGATTCAGATAAATATTTACGAAGACATTAAATTTAGTAATGCTGCAAATTAAAATGCAACTGCTGTTGGAAACCTCAAAAGTAACATTTTCATAAACAATTCTATGTATTTTTTTTCTCTCCTTCCTCTCTTAAAGGTGATCACTTAAGCTGGAGGTAGGTTTCCATCAGTGCTGGTTGCTCTCTGGTAACTTGTCCGAGTGCAACTCCTCCCGATATAAGCTGAGACTGTAGTACCAGCAGGCTATTCAACTTTTGAACTGAGCTCCATTCTTTCCTCAATGATCCAACACATGTTCACTTTCTATTCGGGTTTAATAGATGCCAATCGGCAGTTGCCACCCTGCTGCCTTGACTGAGATCAGCAAACGCCCCTCACACCGGGGTCCAACTCAACATAACCTGGGACCTTCCGGGCCTATATAACTCAGTTCTACATTGAGTGGTGACTTCACCACTTATATTCAGATAGAGTCAAATACTGTGTGTTCAAAACTCATTATGTAATTTAACAGAAATATTAAAAAGCATATCACCCCATTTAGATGCATTTAAACACATTTCAAAGATGTTTAACATAAATATACAGATATATTAAAATAACAAATGTGATGTGTTTTGTTTTACCTGTACAGAGCAGCAGAAATTCTTTACTCTTTGGCATTGGTTGGTGTCCAAAAATCTAACAAAATGACAATATTTCCTTCATCTGAAAATTATAAATTGCTGGTAGAAGCAAGGCGAAATCTTGGTCTTTTCCAACATCATGATGGAATCACTGGAACCTCTAAAGAGTGGGTCGTTGTGGACTATGGCACGAGGTAAATATTAGTACATAGCTTTTATATTGAATTATCTCTCCCAATTTAAATTTTCTTCAAATTTAGTGTATTACTCTCTGAATGCAATAATATAGTTTTATAACACTGTTTGCCATGTTTTAGTATACATTCCATGAATAACATTTTAGTTGCATTTATTGGATAATATGTAGGAACAGGAAAAGGCTGTTTGGGCCATCTTTCAAGTTCTGTCTTGACTTTTTTTCGCATTCATTTAATTTTAATGCATTAGCTTTTGTGCCTTTTATATGGGCAGAAATTCCAGTCGGTGTTGTATGTTGCAACTTTGGAGATGTGCGATTAGAATGAGAAAATCCCATTAATGGGTGACATTGCAAACGTCAGCATCTTACAGCACATAAAAAGCTGGAAGGATTGATTGTAAATGTTAGTAGTACCATTTACCTGAATGATGTACAGGTTGACTGGTGTACAGTTCTGTACAAGGTAAAGCTTTAGACAATGTGGAATTTTTTTGTTTGAACTGTTCTGCCTTTGGTATCCAGTGTACAAAATTCTCCACAATTGTGGTATTCTCTGAGAAATGTACATGATGGCTTGTCCACTTCAAATCCCATTTAATATCTTGTCCAAGGTCTTGATAACATTTACATATCTCTGGTTCTGTTTCCATTAACCTCTACAGTTGCTCCCTCAGGCTGAATTTGATAGTGTGCATTTCAGTGCTTACAACAATTAAAAAAAACTGTTTTTACGGAGGGAGAATGTTGGGTTACTCATGATGCTCCATGATGTCTGCTCCTTCTGCTTATTAGGCTCAAACTGCTCCATGTTCCACTCCTGGCCGGACCCCCACGGTCGAGTCGGGCGGTCGGGCCTTCAGCCTTTCTGCCCCCACCCTTTGGAACTCCATCCCACAGTTCCTTTGCCTTGCTCTCTCCCTTGCCTTTTTCAAGGTCCTCCTCTTCAACCAAGCCTTTGGTCACCCTCCAGCCCCCAGCTGGGGTCCAAATCCCTGATTATCCAGTGCCTTGGGACATCCTCCTGATGTGAAAGACGCTACACGAATGTAATGTTTGTTGTTCTAAGAATATCTGTCGGCAGGTAGCTCAGTTTATGTGATGTTCTATATTCCCAGCTCCAGCCAGAGAGTGTATTTTATCCATTCGGACTGACACATATTCCGTATGTGAATTGCCCATGTTTGTTATTGGAGCAGCTGTTCATTTGCTGAGAGGTTAACACATTCTTGCTGCCAGGAATAAGAGCTGAACTGCTTTGTGCAAAGCATGTTAAGTCAAAATCTCCTGCATAATAGCTAGATCATTACTCCTCCCCCCATAAACCCCATGCACTTCACTGATGTTTGAAGCAGGTGCAGCCAAAGTTACTTCAGGAAAAAGAATGGTTGTTCTTAGCAAAGTGTGCTTCTATCCACTTCTCGTGTGTAAGTGAAGGCCACTGAGGCTAGGCCTTCATCATTAAACTTCATATCAAGCCAGTATGTGGCTCAGCTAGCTCAGGCTACAACAGTGTATTTAGGTTTGTGTTTATTAATCTCAGCTGTATCCAATTTGGAATTAGAATTGGGAAGTGACTGTGTCACTTAGAAAGAATGGAGTTGGTAATATCAAAAGCAAAGGACTTCTCCATGTAATGTGTAAGTCATCAACTTGTCATCAGCAATAATATGTTTTCATATTTCTATGAATACGCATTAAATACATGTGCACTTCTGTTTGAAGCACTAGCATCATCTCTTGTTTCACTACATATCAATATAGTATTCAAGATATACAGATAACTATGAAAGGAACAGAGTGTTTGATGTACCACAATCTAATAACAAAGCTCTCTTTCATCATTTTATGTGAAGCAGCAAGTCTGTATATAGGGTGACCATATTTTGTAAACCAACAACAACTTGGATTTATATAGCACCCTCCATGCCAGACGGCGTCTCAGAGCGCTTCACAGTAATGGATCCCGGGGCCGAGCCAGGGGGAAGGGGAGGAAGGTGACCAAAGGCACGGTTGAAGAGAAAGATCTTCAGCAGAGACCTGAAAATAGGAAGAGAGGGGGATAAACGAAGGGAGTGAGGAAGGGAGTTCCAGAGCCTCGGGGCACAGTGGCTGAAGGCACGGCTGCCGAGGGTGGAGTGGAGGACTCGGGGGACAAGGAGGAGGCCAGACTCGGAGGAACGAAGGCAATGGGCAATGTTTTGAGGAGAGAGGAGGTCAGAGAGGTAGGGGGGTGCAGAGGAGTGGAGGGATTTGAAGACACTGGTGAGGATCTTGAAGTCGATCCTCTCTGGGACAGACAGCCAGTGCAGGTTGGCAAGGACTGGGGTGATCGGGGAGTGAGTTTGGTGCGGGTGAGAATGCGGGCGGCAGAGTTTTGAATAATCTGGATTTTATGGATGGTAGTGGAGGGGAGGCCGGTGAGGAGGGCGTTTGGATAGTCCAGCCGAGAGGTGACAATGGCATGGACCAGGGTTTCAGTGGCTTTCGAAGAGGTATTGGCAGAGACACGCAATACGTCGGAGGTGGAAGAAAGCGGTGCTGGTGAGGAACTGGATGTGGGGGAAGGAATGATAATTGGGGGTCGAACCTGACGCTAAGTTGCGTACGGTTTCGGAGAGTTTTAAGGAGAGGTCTGGTAGGTGGAGGAGGTGAGAACCGTGAGATTTTAGACGTTGACGAGAGCCAAAGAGTATGGCTTCCATCTTGTCAAGTTCAGCTGAAGGAAATTTGCGCTCATCCAGCTCCTGAGGTCCGACAGGCAGGCTAACAGAACATCAGGGGACTGGGGGTCCCAAAGAGAGGTGACAAAATAGAGTTGGGTGTCATCCGCATGCATGTGGAAATGTACCCCATGTCTGCGGATGACATCCCCAAGATGGAGCATGTAGATCAGAAAGAGGAGGGGGCCACGGATGGATCCTTGGGGTACCCCGCAGGTAACCGGGTGAGAGTGGGAGGAGAAGCCGCTTGTGCAGATGTACTGCTGACGATTTGTGAGGTAGGACTCGAACCAGGCGAGTGCGGTCCCACTGAAGTGGATGACGGAGGAAAGGTGGTGGAGGAGGATGGCGTGATTGACTGTGCCGAACGCGGCGGAGAGGTCCAGGAGGACAAGGAGGCAGAGGGAGCCCTGGTCACAGATACAGAGGATTTAATTTGTGACTTTCACAAACGCGAGGAGGACGTTTTAATAGTCCAGCCGAAACGTGACAAAGGCATGGACCAGGATTTCAGCGGCTTTTGTAGAGAGGTATTGGTGGAGATGGACGATGCATTGGAGGTGGAAGAAAGCGGTGCTGGTGAAACCAAATCTGGGAAACAAACATTTTTTTTAATTCACCACAGTTCCTGATGCTGGCAGTACTGGAAACACTTGTTGGATAAATGAATGGCTGTATTTCTATGCTGAATGTATCTGTTGTAGAATTTTATCGTTCTTGCTCAGTTTGTTACTGAACTCAAGACAGACAGGACAAATTTGGCCAAGGACACAATTTCTTATCTGGGGACATATGGTCACCCGAATAAAGAGAGTAAATCTCGACTGTAACCAAGATGGTCCCCACACTGGAATTCCCAGTTAGTGGTTGGCCAGTACAATCTTGAGAAGGCTACCATCTGTCTCACCATGGGCTCCTTTTTCGCTTACTACTCATCCCACAAAAGATGCTGTTGCCTAAGACCCTGGCACTCTCTGTTACATTCTCTCGAGCACACCTCCTCTAGGGTCTGATTATATCTCTCCACAAGATCTCCTGCCTCTGCCACTTCCTGAACTCCAAAGCAGCTGGCCTTGCACCACCCTATCTCTTTTATCCCCCGCGATCCTGCTTCCCAAGCCATTTCGTCTGCACTACAAACTCCAGCCTGCTTCATGTCCCAGCACACAATCATGAGCTCTCAGCAATTTTGCTCTTCCTCTGGACCTCTTCTGAATCCCTCCATCTTGCCCCTTCCCTCTCTGCTTTGAAATCCCACCTGAAGACTTACCTCTGAATTCACTTTCGACCCCCAACCTTCATCTCACTTCCAGCTTGGGCTCCTGGTCAGTCTTTGTAAGGTGCTTTGAGGCACTCTCCCAATGTGAAAGATGCTAGATAAGTACAGGGTGACCAAAAAGTCATGGTACCATAACAATGTCTGAAAGAAATTATGATATTTTTGTTTTTAGACAATAGGGTAGTTATCACAACATTTTGGTCACCCTGTATAAATTATTGTTGCCGTTCAATATGAAGGAATTTCAACAACCCCACTATGCAGCACAATTTGAGTGGAAATCTAAAGTTACCTGGTCTAATTATAACTAAAACTTCTGGTGGCATTAGTGGTTTGCGCTGTTGGAAAATTGCTTAAGTAAATGTAATATTCCATCAATTAGTTGACTAAATTTACGTTTTTCATCTAATTATAATGACAATTACCTCGGTGTTAATGCTGCATTGGAATATTGGCTGTAATGATATTATCCTTACTGCCAAGGTAAACCTGCTTGACATTAATGGGATAGTAATGTCTGAATGTGGACCCCAAAGCAATAATTTATACTGGACATTGGAATGTGATCTTGTTAGAAGTATTTAAATTCTAAACTGTGAAACAGATATGCTTCATTATCTTGCTATCAGTATATTTTAACCTTTATCAGAGAAAATACCCTTTGATCTAAATTTCTTTGATGATGGGGGGGATTTGTTCTCCATGGATGCTGCCTGACCTGCTGTGTGTTCCCAGCGACTTCTGTGTTTATACCAGATTTTCAGCATCTGCAGTACTTTGCCTTTTTTAAAAAAAAGTATTCTTAATAATAATCCTTGCACGCTTAATTGAAGTACTCTTAATTTTGTTTCTTTGTAGACTCTTTCACTCCATAATGAACTTGAAGAGGGTGATAATAGATGCAGCTCATTTTCTCATTTTAAAAGACAAGGAAAATTACAAGCACACCTCTTCAACTCCCTTTCTTCAGATGGTAAGAGATTTTACATTGTAGCAGATTCCAAAACAATAACATTAATTAGATGTGTATTTTCTAAGTGAATGCTTGTAGTATTGGCACAGAAAATTAAATGTGCCATATAAGTGGGTATTTTTCACACATTTTTAGAAACAATATGCCTTATTCTGTTTCTATATGATCATCAAGCAATGGTAGCTTTCTGGAAAAATATTACTTAATAAAGGGCATGTATCCTCATGGTATACTCAAGTGTAGTGTATCTTACATAATCTTTGATCGGGTTCATAATAGATAGGTTTCACTCATTGTTCAAACTTGGAAAATGAATGAAAGACCAACACATGCGAATCCACAAGTTCAGTTTTGTCCTTTGTTTTTGTGGTTTGTAATCCACTATTTTTGCTTATCTATTTAACTGCAAGAATAAATTTAGCAGCACTTATCAACTTATCAATCATTGCAAACAAATCTTCACAACAGTTTAGGTAGTCAGTGTTTGAAAATTGGTTCACTGAAGTGTCATTATCAAGTATGTTAGTATCAGTTAATTCATAGAATATAAATGTACGTTTACATAGCGTCTTTCACATTGGGAAGAAGTCCAGTGGTGCTTGACAGTGCTCACAGGAATCGGAACCAAGGGAGGGGTGGTGGGGTGGAGGGCTGCGGGCGAGGAGGGGAAAGTTGACTGAAAGTGCAGCCAAAATCATGAAAGTCATCGTCTTTTGAATGATTACTGCAGGTTTGTAACTTGTACAGCTAGGCATAGTTCAAACCATTAGCAAAGCAAGGACAGCTTGGTATCTGAAACACCAGTATTTATGCAGTATTTTTCATGCAGCGAGTTGTTCGAATCTGGAATCTGAAAGGGTGGTTGAGGCCGATTCAATAACTACTTTTAAAAATGTGGTGGACGGGTATTTGAGGAGGACGGGTTTGCAGGAGAAAGGGCTGGGGAGTGGGATTGACATTAATTGCTCTATTCAAAGAGCCAGCACAAACTCGCTTGGCCGAATGGCCTCTTTTTATGCTGTACGATTCTATGATTCTATGATTCTATGCCACTGCAAGCTAAGTTAGAACCCTTTCAGCAGAAAAGCAATTGGGAGGAGGGAGCTGGATTTATACTTCCTATACCTCATGACACTGTCTGGGGACCAGGAAATGCTCTGTGCATGCAAAATAGATCTTTAATCAAATTTTTAAAAAGTCTATTAATAAGACACCTACGAACCTTTGAGACACTCTATCTGAGCAGTTTACATCAGCTACATTTATATTGCAGCCGTACAAACTAGTGTGCTGATCAAATCAGTTTCTTAGGGTGGTCTCAACAGCTGACTTCCTGCATGATTTGCTTTTGGATTGCACTGCTGAGCATGATTTATTCAGTGGCTTTCATGGGATTCGTTGCTAACAGTTCATCAAATGGAATTACCCCTGTAGATATTCTGGTAAACCTATATCACAATCATTTCAGGAGAACCTCGGGCATTAGTGCCTCATTCATAGACAATTGCAAGGCTTTCTCCAATATAGCTGGTTCTATGCTTGTCATAACCAACATGACGTAGGATCTCAGCATTCTTGTCATCATTTGCAGATTCCAGCTTGATAGTTGGATTAGTATTGGTATGGAAGGTTAGCATAAGTGACAGGAATCAATATTATCCTTCTTGACATAGAAGAGTCAGTATCTTAACTCACTGTCATCACATATACCAGATTTGAAGCTATCCATGGAGCAGGTAAATGACAGGAGATTCTCATACAGCTGAGGAAGTAAGTCTGACTGTCCAATGTGCTGGAGTTATGGATATTCAAAGCAGTGATCTTTCAGTAGCCTGCAAAGGCTGGCTCTTCGTTGCATTACAACCAATGCAAGGATGTCAACTCAAGTTGTGGAAATACTTGCATTGTCAACCTTTCCGATGTCAATATTTTACACAAATATGTGTCGCACTTTTTGAGAAGAAAATTTAGCTCTGGTAGGCAGAAACAATAGGAAAATATTTGTGTGTTCAGATACAATTTCTGGTGTTTCATAGCAAGTTAAGGATGCAGATGCTGTGGGAACAGCGACTTGGATTTATATAGTGATCTTCACACAGGATAGCATCTCAGAGCTCTGTACAGTGACCGGATTGGATACCAAGAAAGGGAGAAGTGACTGTAGGCGTGGTTGGAGTGGTTGAGGATTTGTGTATCTGTTTCTTTTTGTATGTATTTCGCACTTTTACTTACACAGTAAAACCCTCAATAATCTTGTAATAGGTATCTATCTACTTTGGGAACAAAGAAATCTGATCATTTTTTTTCCAAAATGTGCTTCCATTCTCAAAGCAAGAATTTTGTTGAGTTTTCTTGCTAGAACCTGGCAGGAATGTCTTCCATTGTTGGCTTGTGATCTATAGCTGTGTTCTTGAATGATATCCATCCCTGTTGCATCCCTCTGGGATTTTTCTTTTTTGGTTCTGAATGTGTTTTACTCATTTTAATAGAATATGGCTTCATGCCCACAAGGTGTGTGAGGCTGGCTCAGTTGGTAGCACTCTTGCCTCTGAGTAAGAAGGGTGTAGTTTCAAGCTCTACTTGGGACATGAAACTCATATAGTCTAGCCTGATACTCCAATAGAGTAGTGAGGTGTGCTGCTTTGTTGGAGGTGCTGCTGCATTGTTGGAGATGACGGCCTTTAGATGCGACATTAAACTTAAGGGGGGGTCTGCTTGTTCAGGTGGATGTTAAAGACCCCATAGTATTATTTGAAAAGTGAATGGAGTTTCTCTTGTTGTCTGGCCAACAATCCCGCAAATAAAATTGGTCATTCACTTCATGGTTCTTTATGGGATGCTACTGTGCCAAATTAATTAGGAGGAAAAGTAGATTTGGGTGTCATATGGGTACATAAGGGGTAAGCCGCCTGAGACATCCCATTGAGATGGATAAGGGAGGCGAGGCAGTCGAAGAGGTTGGCATGATTGACTATGTCAAAGGTAGCAGAGAGGTCCAGGAGGACAGAGGCAGAGGGCTTTGAAGACCTCTGTCTCAATGCTGTGGGCAGGGCAGAGACCGGTCTGGAGGGGCTTGAATAGGAGTGGAGGCAAAGGTATGAGTGAAGTTGGTTGGCAGCAATGCATTCCAGGACTTTGGAGATGAAGGGCAAATTTAAGATGGGATTATTTGAAATAGGTATGTCTAACAAAAATAAATATTCTGTTTCTTTTAGGATGATAACCAAGATACCCAGGATGCTTTACCAAAAAAGACAATCATCGGATTGAACTCACTGCCTCGGTATATAACACAGCTTCAATTTTTTTTAAAAAATGTTCTTCAATGGCTGCAGAAATAAGTTATAAATAGCTATATTTGAATTTCAACCAGACCATAAGTTTCAATTCTCAGTAATTTAATTTTGAAAAGAGATATCTCAGAGGGAACCTTCTGGAAGTGTATAAGATAGGATAAGGAAAATAAACACAGAATAATACGTTCAGATATGCAGCAGGACATGAGGGCACTGGTTCAGAGTCTATTTTAGAGGGCAATTTTAGAACAGACACAAAGAAATTTATCAGAACATAATAGCTGCAGTGGGTTACCAGGGAAGCTGGTTGAGGCCAGGACATTGGACAAATTTACAAAAAATGTTGATGCTGTAATAGAAAGCCTGGTTGATTTTCCAGAAGAATTGAGTTTAAAGGGCGTTCACTTAAGCTTCTCTTGTGAACTCATTTGTGTCTCGTGGCTAAGTGTAGGGAAGTTACCAGCTAAGTTGCTAGTTGTAGCATCCCACAGTAGTGTGCTAGTGCAGTTCCAGTTATGTTTAGATAATTTTCATTCTCGTTCAGACAGTTTTACTGTATATTTTATCAAGTGGTCGCTAATTGACATATTATAACATCAACAAACCCAGAGCCATTCTGCTTGGCTCACTCCCCTGCTGCTCTCTCCAGCTCATGGGGCCAGTGTGAAATTGCAGAGTGTTGTTTGACTCTCAATACTCACTCCATTCCTTACATATGTGGAACTCTTAAATAGGTTTGGTTTAGGTACTATTCAGCTCGATGATGGGTTTCCACATGTGTCAGACACCTGCCTGACCAAAAAAATCCTCTTTCTTTCTCTCCTAACTCTGCCTTTCTCTCCAAGTCATTCTCTCTCACTCTCTGAGTCTATTTCTCTCTGTGTCTATTCCTACCTGAGTCTCTTACTCTGTCTTTCTCTGACTAACTACATTGTTTCAAAAATAAATACTTTGCACTATCAGCAAAGAAAAAATCCCGTTGAGTACATGCACGTGAGGCTACCAGGGATGGAATTTACTGGGGCTGACAGTTGTTTATGTGGAAAAATTGCATCCCTTGTAACCTGTAACCAGCTTCTGAAACTGTATTTCAGTGGCGTAATAGTATTTGAGGTATAGTGGCAATATTTCTGTTTCAGGTTTCTTGTGATGTATAACCCCACAGACCAGGACCGCACCTCTGTTGTAACAGTGTATGTAAATTCATATAAAGTAAGGGTGCAAACTGCTTCAGGGCAACACGTGACATCCCAGGTTAGCGCAGTTTGGGACACACCCACCACAGTTTCTAAAGACGCATTCCAGGTACGGTCAACTTTTTAAATCCTAAATCTACAGCATCATTTTAGTAATAATCTGATATGATTTCTGTTATTACCAAGTAAGGGTATGTGGTACAACATTCACGCAGTTGGCACTCTTGAGCTGCACGAGTGGCTGATGGCTCTGTTGATATGGGATAACATTCCCTCCAAAACAGTTTTACATTGATATAGTATACAGTTGTTCTAATGATAAGGTACATGGAAGAGATCTTTGGTGACCAAGTGTTATGATTAGTATACTATATATGTGCATGTTAAAATCTGATCATTTTTGCAGATTTGTTGCATGAAGCAAAGATAATTGTCTACTCTTCGTTATTTACTTTGCTAATTTCTTTTTCTTTCAGGTTTCCTTCCTGGCACAGGTGCCAGCCCTGGGTTTGGGGCTATACCAACTTGTGGAAGCACAAGATATAAAAACGGTGCTTGCAGATTACACAGTGTGCTTGAATGGAAGAGAAGACGTGACAGTCAGCACAGACAGTGCCTTCATACTCAATGTACTCAAAAGCTCTACTGATGATTTGATTATTGAAAATTCAAATATGAAAGCTTGGTTTTCGGGAACTAAAGGTTTTATTCAGGTAAAACAATACAATTACTGTTTCTTTGGCTTTTTAGCACTATAAAATTCCCTTTTTTTCATCAATCTTCACATAGCGCTGATAGCCACTAGGTCTCACTCCTTTGTTCACTAATATTGTACAACATTTATGTTGGCAAACTGGAAATGTAGCCGTGTTTGATTTAGCTGTTTGTCACTGCAAAGGATGAAATATAACATCTGACTTCAACAAAACCACCTCTTCACCATGTTCAAATATCAACTTACACTGTTCAGCCAATTTTTAATTCAGCCAATTATTTTTCATCCAACTTAAGGGCTGTAAAACTTTATTCTGGGCCACTGTAGTTACCTCTCTATTACTGATGCTTTTATATTTGTAGGGAGGGTTCACATTCAGTAGCCATTGGCACATGAGCAAAGCTTGAAGGGTGTGTTGGTGCTTAACTTCGGACAGCCCATGAACAATCCCGTGTCAGCAAACCATGAGAGACCTGATCTTAATCCTTCGAATTCAAGATCCTCATCTTCACCAACAAGGCCATTCACGGCCTTCCTCCCTCCTACCTCTCCGACCTACTATCCCCCTACTTACCTGCCCGTACCCTCCGTTCCTCTGGCTCCAGTCTGCTACACATCCCCCGCCCCAACCGCTCTACCATCGGTGGCCGGGCCTTCAGCCTCTCAGCCCCCAGGCTCTGGAACTCCATCCCCCAGTGCCTTCATCGCCTCCTCCCTTTCCTCCTTCAAGGCCGGTCTCAAGATCTTTCTCTTTGACCGTGCCTTCAGCTCCCCTCTCGACTCTCTACCCCCTCCTCGCCCCCTCCCTTCCCTCCCCTCACCCTGACCATTTCCCCCCTGCTCGGGTCCTGACCCAACTGTCCAGGGCCTTGGGACGTCCTTCCGACGTGAAAGGCGCTCAATAAATGGAAGCTTGTTGTTGTTGTTCTGTCGGATTGTAATATTTAGTTCAGTTTTTTATACTATTCCTCAATCTCCAGGCTTAAATCCTTTTTAGGAATTCATTCAAAATAAGTGTTTCTAGTGCCTTTAACATATGAAACACATATACTTGTTGGAATTCATTTAAATCAATATTAAAACAGTTTTTACAAAAGTGTGCAGTGTAGTGGATTCTAAAATACATATTGAATTTCATCAAGAAATAATTTCATTTTTATAGTGCTTTTATCAAAGCATTTCCCAAGTATTTGCTGCCAAATGTAGTGACTGCTTTTGTTGGAAAGTGCAGCAGCCATTTATACTTTAAAAGTTCCTTTAATCAGCCATGATGAAATGAATGACCAATTATTCTGGAGGATTGTTGACGAGGATACTGGAAAAAACTTCCCTCTCTTTTCTAATACTGTTCTGCGATCTTTGACTTTCACCTGAGGGCAGATGGAATGGATGTTGGTTTTACATCTCTTCTGAAAAACAGCCCTTCCAATAATACACCACTACCACCGCATGGGAGTGTCAGCCTAGAATAGGAGATCACATCCTATTGTAGGGCTGGAACTTGCAATCTACTGACCCACGGGAGCCTATGTAGATTAATTCATCAGTCATTTCCTCCTCTTTTTCACAGTCTTACTAGTTGTGAGAATGAATTTAGAGATTATCTCAACTCTGTGCCTCTATACTGAAATTGAATTAGATTACTGCTTTCAGTGATCAAGTTTTCTGATTGCCCAGTAATGCAGATACAAAGAGCAAATAAAGGAAAATCAGGAGTAGTTATAAATCAACTGAAACCAATTTTTATTGTTATTACACAGGAATAAAAAATAGGATATAGTTATAACACTATAGTTATAACACTACAGCCCTGTTATAACACAGTGGTTGGGATCCATAAAATCACAACCGCAGCAAGATATAGATTTCACTGCACACGCATGCACCCAGCCAGCTCATTCCCTTCATACTGTATAAAAAAAGTTTATCGCCTACGTCACTTTTGTGCTTGTGCAAAGTGTTGTTAGTGGCATCTCAATAAACTGAAAGTCAGCCATTTTAACACAAGAGCTGGCCAATGAGCGGAAAGTGAGTGGACCGGCAGTATGTATACAAAAGTGAATGAGATCCACAGGGCACCTTCATTATAACCATGCTACAACGAAGTATAACAGGGCCACACTGTAAGCGCAAGAAGTTTTGTTAATTCTGCTGAGATTATTGATCCTGGATGGTTAGATAAGAGTTTCCCGTTTTAGAATATCAGATTGCGAAATTCATAGCCACTAATTTGCTTGCTAGCCTTTTGTTTTACTTTGCCAGCTCGAGATTCATGTTGCCATCCACAGCTTTTGCAATACAATGTTGCCAAAAAGAAAGTCACAATTAATAAATTAGGGATTTGAATAATAAATACAAATAATAATAATAATTCTTACATTTAGTTTAGCTCCTTTCACATTAGGAGCCAATTTGTGCACAGCAATGTCCCGCAGCAGCTATGAAGTGAATGGCCAATTTATATGGAGGAGATTGTCAGCCAGAAAACCGGCAGAACCTCCCTTCTGTTTTTGAATAGAGTCGTGGGATTTTGAACATCTAGCTGAACAAGCTAGGACCTCGCCCTAACATCACACTCAAAGGACAACACTTTATAATACTTCTTAACATATAACACTTCCAACAATGCAGCACACACCCAGCACTGCATTGGAGTGTCAGTCATGACTATATGAGTGCCTATATGAATGAATAAATGTACTAAATGACTGCTGGGTTTGCTCAAAGATTAAGACAGTCACACACTTTACAGTACTCCTGAAGTGCTATGAAACGTCTCAAAGTCATGATAAGGCGCTATATCAAATGTAAGGAACATAGGAACTGGAGGAGGCCTTTTAGCCCTTCAAGCCTGTTCCGCCATTTAATTAGATCATGGCTGATTGGTACCTCAACTAATCCTTTCAATTCCAATTTCAAGGAATTGCAAGGAAATGCAAGATTATTACTGAGTTATATTTTCAGTACTTTGAAAGCTCAGATGTTATTCCAAATTCTTTGTTTGTTTCCCCTAGAAAATAAAGACCAAGGATGATGATAAGGAACATCAGATAAATATTCAGTTCATGTGGTACGGAACAACAAGCAACCGAGACAAGAGTGGTGCCTACCTCTTTCTACCTGATGGAGAAGCTAAGGTAAAACAATAGAAGCCTTTTATACAATGCTTTGTTATAGCGCACATTTTCTTTTTCGGATGTAGCCTCTGATATTTACTTATCGAAAAATCCATAATAAGTGCACTAGCTCCATCAGTGCTTCAAATTGCTGACCAGTATGTGGGAAGCCAAAATCACTTACTGCACGCTGTGCATGCTTTCATAATTTCTTTTATTTAGGATTTTTTTTATTATGCATTATGTGTTTCTATTTTAAAGCTAATATTATGATCTATGTAAGCAATTTAATGTTGTGTATAGATAGATCATGTTGTAGACCTCACAGGAATTAGTTTCTCCAAATACTGTAATACTATTTGTAGAGATTCCTTTTTTACATAGAATCTACAGTACAAAAATATGTCATTTGGTTCAACTAGTCCTTGCTGGGGTTTATACTCCACAAAAACCTCCACCCTAATCCACTCTCCCTAGCTTCTCCCATACCGCAAGCATTCTCTTATCAAATAAGTAGAATTGAAGTCACTTTCAATTAAAATTTCATTTATCTCAGACTTATATTTTAATTGTTTGATATTATCCAGTTATGTATGTATATATTGCAATAATTCAATTCTTTATGTGTTCAGAGAAGGCTCACAGAAACCATATTTGGGAATGTAAGCATAATTGTATTATGTAAATCTATAAGTTATGTTTATCTCTCTTTGAAATTGGCAATTTTATCTGATGAATCGCTGTGCTATACATCATATTAAATCTCGCGATTGAAGTCTTCTCACCCTGATTTTCAGAGTGTATTGAACTCAGAAATAATACATGTTAGCATGGAAATGCTGAACAATAAATCTGCATTGCTCTAATTTCAACAATGTGCCCGGTGCTTCATTAAAATTCAAATGTAATTTTAAGAATATGCTGCCTTCTCTGCTGACAGTCGGTTACACGTCTTACATTAATGAAGGTATAAATTTGCAGTGGAGACCTATAGTGATTTTGATTAAGCTCAAAAATATGGCTCAGCAAAGCTTCCCTCGAGCAATAGTTCAAAGATTCAAATTTGAAGGCTGGTGTAAGTGTGCTGCAATATTCAGCTCCTGTATGTTTTCTCAATTCTTAACCTCCCAAATCGCCCATTATTAAAAAGTATAATATGACTATTATACATACTCCTAGTTCTGGTGCTAGATTTGATGTAGGTTTAGGCTGTGTTATAGTATATTAATATAATTATATATTAATATAACATAACAGATATTTTTAAATACATTTTATTTAAAAGCTTGGGTCCAAATCCGTGAGTGTCCTGCAGTCGTGAAGGCCGAACACACTGGCAAATGTTAATTCACTATTAAATGCCAATCAGATCAGGGCGCTATTTCTGTAGTTCTGAGGCAGGGTGGGTGGGGGGGGGGGTGGATTTGAACTTTTGTCTCTTGAGGTTTTCAGCTTCAGATGACTTCATTACAGTAGAGCAGAAAAACATCACTTGGTCATAATTCATTTGAAAGCTGGTAAAAGTCATCAATTATTTGTAATTTCTAATGAACTTAAAGAAAAAACTTTTTTGGGCTAGTTTAATTAGGAGGGTTAACTCTTAGACGAACCTATGGAGCTTTTGTGGGCCAACTAACTGTACACGTTTAGCTCATATATGCTGAGAAAGCACATTATTAAAGACCTAGCTGTGTGCACTAGTGGGCAGGAGCAGATTGAGGTAACAAACTTCTCTCTGCCACATAATGGTATCTTGGGGCTTGGGGCAAGGTAGAGATGTTGGAAAGTGAAATTTTGCTTGTGAAAAAATTATATTAAAAAAAGTTCTAAATAAACTAAACAATTCAAAACCTTTACCTGTACTCACCCATTTGTCATTTTATTCTTTTATTTGTAGCCTTGTCTATCTAGCCTATACATTTGTTTCCTCCTAAGCTTTCACTATCTTGATTCTTTTTCAGTCAGGCTTTATAATCCATATACTCCCAATGATGAGAGTTTGCAATTGAAATATAATCCAACATATCGGTCCTTTGCCCTTATTAGAGAAGAAACAATCTCGTTGAAGTGAATCTGTTTTGGAGGTAAACAAAATGACTTAATGAGAGCAAAAGGTTAATTATTTGTACTTACAAAAATCATTTCGGAATCTTAAAATCCTTTTTTAAGGGCTTGAAAAGTGCAACCAATTTGAATGTGCAACCAATTTGCCTCAGACCATAACAGCATAACCATAACAGCAGAAACTGAGAGCATTGGTTTAAAATTAAAAAGCCTCAAACAGGACATGAAGTAGAATGATTTTTCCTCCACACCATAGTAGACATGTGGAACAGAATCATCATGACCGAACCATTTGTTAAAACTTTAATTAGCTCCCTTAAAAATGGGTATCTCTTTTAGAATAGCTGTGTGGGGACAAGAGCGATCAGATGAAAATTCTCCATAGGACATAGTTTCTGTGCTTCTGTGGTTTAGGGCAAGGGAGGTGGAATTTTGTTAGTGGAGAAAGTAAGCCAGGTAGTGAAGATGTGTGGATGAATAAATATTCTGGAGTTTTTGTTTGGTTAGCTTTAAGATTCAAGGAGATTCATATATAACATCTTTTCACCATGTGTGGTTAGCATGGGCTGCAGAAGAAGCAGCTTAATGCAATCAAATGTTCTTTTCTCATCCTGCGGCTTCTTTTCCCCACTATTGCTGCCTAACATTTACAACTTGTGACAAATTCTCAATATCTCATTGGTTTTGATAGTTTCAATTTCCACAAGGGTCAGATGCTCGGCTGACCCCAAAAATGTACCGTAGATACTAATAGTTAAGAGTAAAAAACATATTATTCATACGGACACAGATTACTCAAAAAGAAAACTAAGAATTTGAATATAATTTTGGCAGACTCTTTTTTAGATTAAAAAGATGATTAACGTTTGAGAAATAAATATTAATCTTGCTTTTACAGGATAACTGAGCTTAAAACTGTATAGATCAAGTAACTAACCAGAAAGCCTTTTTATTTCCCCCTGCAAGCTTTGAAACTGTTTCCAAATCTGAACTCAAACTAACTAAAACCAAAATTGCATCAGTCAGGTGGAACTATCATTTCCCCAACAGACTTGCTTATAATATATGCTGCACTCAAATCAAATTTTCCTCTTCAGACAGGTTATTTTGTTTTCATTGTGTTTTCTCTGTTGCAACAACATTTCATCATATATTTGCATTTTGGACTTCATATACTGAAGAGCTTCAGCAAAAGTTTTTTTTAAAGATCAACAGTGTAAACTAAAACATAGATTGTGAAAACAAGCTCTCTCCCTTTGACAAAATAGATGGAGTGAATTTCTGTATATTTTCATTTCAAGACAAATTGCCATTAAAATTATTTCAGGGTAGGATGTTTTGTCATGCCACAATGCTGTTGTCTTGGAAGGGAACATCTTTAATATACTGCTGCTTATATTCTTTTGAATGAAGGCAAAGGTAGAAAATGTTTACATATAAAAGGTCACCTACTGTCAACATTCCTGAGTCTGTTATGATTGTAAGTGATAAAATGAATAACAAGTGAACTGAATAATGTAAAAGGAATCTTTTTCTTATGTTTACCTATCAGAATTTAATTTAATTTACAGTTTTCAAGAAACAATCACTTTCATATAACAGATATAATTCATTTTTTTGTGTATGTGTTTTGCATACACAAAAACAGTTTTTGCATACAGTTTTTTCTCAAGGGAATCGTTTGTACAATACCTAAAGTCATGGAGTACTACGAGATTTTAAGTCTGTGCCAATGCCTCATCATTCTGTCCTGCCAAGGTGATTCCCTAGAGAAAATATTGTTCATATTTAGGGGCACTTTCACTCATGGCCACTAGAGTGATATTGCTAGAAGGCTTTTTAAAGCCACTATCTATAGTGCATTCCATACCCACTGCAGGGTATATGTAAGGCACAACCAGCCAGGGAAAAACTATGGATGAATAGCAGTGTTGCGATTACTCAGTGTTACTTTCTACATTAAAGGGAATACGTTTTGGCAGCTGACTGATAATTTTGAAATTGGTTATTTGACCAGGGACTTAATTCCTGGGTGGGGGTGGCTGGGGTGGGGAATGGCAGGACAATTCCTAGGTAGTGGCTGTTGTATATTTGTGAAATAATGTGTTATCATTTGTGACACGAATGTACCCTCAAGGCAGACCTGATACTAAAAATGTCATCACAAATGTATTGTTCATAGCTCATTTAGATAAAATGTGATTTGTAGGATGCATTTGGATAATTTATACAGTTGATATTGGAAAATGGTTGAAATGAAAGGAAAAAAACTGTAATGTTCTTGTAGCCTGTTATATATGTTGATTGTATGTTTTCTTCATAAGCATTTTTAAAACAAAATTTAGGGTTCAAAACCCGTCGCCCCAGACTTTTTGTAAGATATAGTGTAAAACTGTGTATTCATTACTTAAAATAAATTATCCAGTTTTAATAATTTAAATTTCCTCTTACAGCCATATTTTTCTTCAAAACCCCCTATCTTGAGAATAACCCGTGGCCCAATATTTTCGGAGATAGTGTGCATCTATGAACACTTCACACACTCAGTCCGGCTCAACAATGTGCAGGGTAAGATCAGTTGCACTTCTACCATATTTTTATGTTTTGTACATAATTATTCCTCTCAAAATTATTAGAGTATTTGGAAATCTGAAAACAATACCACTATGTTATCATTGCCATATTTACATTTTACTGGGAAATACAGTAGCTGAAATCCTTAGTACAAATTAGGTGAAATGAATCCACATGAGAGGGTTCTCACTTTTTTCATGACACCATGATAGAACATCCAAGTAGGCGGATAGAATCATCAGTGAAGGAATGTTATGATTTGGTACACTATGTTTAACCTGTGGGGTATTGCAAATTTGTGTTGTGACAGAGCGAATTAAAATGATTACTTATAGCTTATATTAAATGTAGTTCATTGATTCCAATTCTACCGCTTATTGCTTAGTGAATTCATCCATCATCAGTTGTTGATTCTTCAGCCTCTGCTCTCTGGATCTGTCTTCTAAAATCTTTGTCTTGCTTCTTCTCGCCTTGCCTTCAAAACGTCTTTAAAGAATAATAGTGTTATTATTGAGTGTTTCTATCCACAATATATATTTGCATCTGTAAAGAGCAAATTAATTTCTTTGCATCCCTGATGTACCTTTTAAATATTAAATCAAATAAACAAAGGATCAAAATCAAAATTGTGGTATTTCTACACAATGATAAATAAGGATTGCTTACAAACATGTTGTTAAAATCTGTCCTTAATGACATGCTTGAGACTGAATTTTAGGAGAATGATGTGCATCTCTCTTTGTTTTTGCGATTGGTGAAGAATAAATTTATTTATTCATGGCAATAAAAGTGGCCGTTTTGATTTTAAAATTAAATTTAAAATTATTTTGATTTCTCTATTTGGCAAAGAAGCACAAAATCTTCATTTCTCATAGGCCGTTTAAAAACTTTCACACTTGCTTACATGGACTTTCTTTTCAACTGAAAGAATGTGAGCAATTGAGAAAAGAACAGTGTGATAGCATCGCAAAGATGGGTGCTTCAGCTATGTTTCAGACAAATGCTTGTACTTTCACTTTTATTAACCTACTTTAGAAGCAAACTATTCATGGTCAGTAGGGGATTTATTAAACATAATCAGTCATTTTAAAGTCAGGAAAGATGAGCTGCAGTTTTAATTAAAAATGTTAAACATATGGATACAAATAATGGGAAAATTCGTCTCCATGCCAGTCAGGTAAGTTACTAAAAATACAAATGCTGTCTGGGAATTTTTAAGCAATTTAAAGGAAACTTTTGGCCTCAAAAATAACAGCTTCAATTTACCACACAAAACATTCCTTCTGTACGTGCTTCCTATCACCAATTGATGTTTATTTTAGAAGTATTCAAAGCAATAATTCCACATACAGATTGAAATCATTAAGTGTTTTGGAGAAATATTAACCCTGTGAATGCCACGGATGAGTTCATTCATTCCAATCAATGCTACTGGAGTGTATGTATGAGTGGATAGGGGCGGGGGTGCAATCACCCAAGTATCTTGGGCCCTACTTTCTACTTTAGACATAAAATTGCATTAAAATGTATTTAGTTGTATCTAAAATGCAGCCCTGTCAATATTCCCTGTTAGAGCTTTTCATTGCCTGCAAAATCTCTTTTGTTTGTCCGCAATTTTTATTCATATCCGGAAAGACATCAAGCTTGAAATGCAGCTTTGTCTTCTTGATTTTGTATGGACAGGACTGCTGTTTCCAAAATATTCCCTTATAAAGTATGAACAAGTAGTCTGTAAAACCAGCCAGTGTTTTCAAGGAGTTGCCTCCAGTGCATAGAGCAGTCATAGCCAATCTTTTTGGTTGGCCAATAGTCATGGAAACAACAAAATAGCATATATTTAGCATAAATCAAGAAATATTTGAACAAGAAACATTTATTTTGTTGACCAACAAAAGTGAGGACAGTACCACAAACACGAAAAGCTAAATGCAACTGGAATTTATAATAATATAATAATCCTTGCATTTACTATAGGAAGGCTGTTAAGGTATTGGAAAGGGTGCAGAGGAGATTTACGAGGATGGTACCAGGACTGAGGGACCTTGATTATGAGGAAAGGCTAGAGAGGCTGGGATTATTCTCATTGGGGCAGAGAAGGTTACGAGGAGACCTAATAGAGGTCTTCAAAATCATGAGGGGATTTGATAGGTTAGAAAGGGAAAAACTGTTTCCACTGGTGGGTGTATCAGTGACTCGAGGTCACAGATTCAAAATAGTTTCTATAAGAAGCAGAGGGAAGGTGAGAAGAAATTTTTTCATGCAGCGGGTTGTTCGAATCTGAAACGCATTGCATGAAGGGGTGGTGGAGGCCGATTCGATAACAACTTTTAAAAACGCTGTGGACGGGTATTTGAGGAGGACGGGTTTGCAGGGTTATGGGGAAAGGGCTGGGGAGTAGGATTGACATTACATTGCTCTTCTCAAAGAGCCGGCACAGACTCGATGGGCCAAATGGCCTCTTTTTGTGCTGTACAATTCTATGATTCTATGATTTGATATTGCGCTTTTCACGTCTTCTAGAAATCTCAAAGTGCTTCACAGAATATACTGTAAAGTGAATTGACTATATATTTGTGGGCGAAACGTGGCAGCTAATTGCACACAGCAGTGTCCCACAAACAGTCGTGGACTGAAGTGACCAATTTTTTTTATTATTGTTTTTTTTTCTTGAGGGATTATTCGTGCAGGGAATCGAACCCAGGTCTCTCGCGAGTGCTCTAACCACTGAGCTATAGGACTCCATTATTCATTATTAATGAACAATTATTTTGTCATTATTAATATGATCAGCAGAGAAGTAACAATCAGGAGATTATCTGTAATTTGAACTAAAATTGTTTGTCACAAGTGAAAAAAATAGTCTTAATGAAGTCAGTCATTGTTTCCAGCCTGACTAGCTTATCAGCCAAATATCAGAGTAGTTCTCCCTTGTATCAAACATCCTTACTTGCACATTGCCAAGTTCTTGAGGTTGCATTTCCAAGATTGCAGCTGGTATTAAAAGAAATCCCTTTCCTAGCCATTTTCTAGCTCTAAAACTCTTTCCAAAATGCCCGTTATTTGTCACAATCCTTGCACAACTGTGAAAATTGCATGTATACCCTTATTTACACAATTAGCTCTTAAGGGTGTCCTGTTGGGAGGTGGCATAGATTGAAATCTTGTTTTTAGTCTAGTTACTGTTTGTCCAACATGTCCTCAGGGCAGTAGGCATAAATTTATTGTCAAGTATTGGAAACCTCAGCTGGAAAATCTCTGCAGGAACTCGTATCTGTTAGGAACTTTACAGCCAAAGGATGCAGTCATAGCAGAACATCTTTCATGTTCCACTTTCTGATGGTGGCAATCATTTTCTTCGACCCTATTGTGAGATTACTTGTGTAATCACTCTTCCCCCAACAGATCACTAGCATTCCAGCCCATATCAATAAGAAAGGATTCAGTCCAAAATATATCGGAGAAGAAAAAAAACAATATTAGTTGCAGTTTCCTCTCATTAACCCCAAATGTCTTTTTTATTTCTCTGAAGAACTAACTCCATGTGCTCTGGTTTCTCTTGTCTCAACTACAATATGTCATATTCTGCTTGAAGCAAGACAGACACCTAACATGCAGTCGTACTTCACACTGTGATCTAATAACATGCAAAAAAAATTCCTACTGAGGATTGTTTGTATTTTTTTTATTTTGCAGTGTCTAAAACCAATTTAATCCTGCATTTATAATGTCTGTTTGGAAGTAGACATTAGGCATGAGTCAGGACAAATCATTCAAGACTGAGATTGATAGATTTCTTGTGGATAAAGGGATTAAGGGATATGGGGATAAGGCGGGTAGGTGAAGTTAGAATAGATCAGCCATGATCTTATTGAATGGCGGTGCAGGCTCGAGGGGCCGAATGGTCTACTCCTGCTCCTAATTCTTATGTTCTTATGCTCGAGCCCTACCGTGTATTTTTAGGAAAATTAAATTTGCCTCTATGCAGTAATAAACAGTGAGCACCAATCAAATTGGGCTCACACAGTCTCATGATCCGTTGAAATGTCTTGGGGGATCCAATGAACAGTCCAGTAATTCTCAACAAAACATGTTTAAAATATATTGAATTGACCTGCAACTGGCAATTTACTATTATTAATGATAACAATGATTTGGCACAGTGAGCCAAATGGCCTTCTTCTGTGCTGTAAATTTTTACGGTTCTAATAATGTAATAATCATTCTTGCATTTGATTTAATTCCTTTCATATCAGTAGGATGTCTCAAAGCGCTTTACTGGATATTACTGTAAAGTGTGATAACGATGTATTTTGTGGACGAACATGGTAACAAATTTGCAAATAGTACTGTCCCACAAACAGCCATGAAATGAATGACCAATTTTATTTGGGTGATTCATGAGCCAGACAAAGGAAGCAATTCCCTTTTCCAATAGTACCATGGGATCTTTATTGTCCACCTGAACAGGCAGATTGAACCTTGGTTTAATGTCTCCTCTGAACGAATCACCTCCAAAAATGTAGCATGCCCCCAGCACTGCTTTAGAATTGTAACCTAAATCAGCAAAAAAAACAGACATCAAGAAAACATAACATCAAGTTATGTTCATGCGCCGAGATTATAAAATACGGTCCCACTCCACAGCTGAAGTGAAGTTATTTTGTGGTCAATGGTATAATTCTAAGTATGGTGTTTTCCGTTATTTGTTGCAAGAAAATTGAAAATTAAATGGTATGACATTGTAATGAATGTAATTGTTTGGAAACGTTACTCTTAGCCTTTTCCATTGATGAGCGAAACTAGTTTGCATAACTAATTATTTGGCACCTTTTCAGTCATATGTAACCATTATACATGAGCGAGCTCTGTTTTCTGACAGCTCAAATCCTATCATCAGTATTAAGTTGCTTTGGGTTATCTAATGTCATGTAATTTTTCACATACTGACGAGAAGATATAAGTATACAATTTTCTGACAGCTCCAATCCTATTATAAATATTAAGTTGCTATGGGTTATCTAATGTCGTAATTTTTCACAAAAAGATATGGACATAATCTGTCATGATATATGGGTTCAATTTTGCTCTGCAGCAAACGTGTGGGTGAATACATACTGCATAACAAGTTACCATTCAATGACCCAGGAGCCTTTGACCCTGAGAAATCATTTTTTGATTTAAGGCTAATGGCTTTTCTACCCATTCTTAACAGAACATGTTCTCTAATGGTTTCAGCTATGAAAAATAACAAGCCTGCAGTCATGTTGTAATGAGTTGCTGAACTTTTCTATCTAGGGAAAACTCTTTTTTTCAAAGGAAAAGATTGAATACCGTCAAAATGTATGGGTATTCTATCCACAGGACACTGGGACACAATTAATTAATAATGAAGCTTGCCTCTTGTCAATTCCTTTGATGTATTTATTGTAAAGTTGTGCACATAGGTTGTTAACTATGATGACATGGGTTAGTTTGTACTTCTTTGTCATTCAAAAGCATTTCAGATCATTTGAAATGCAGATTTTGAAATTCAACTGAGCTACAATACCATAAAACCTCTGTTTGCCCTGTTACAACAGCAACAACATGCATTTATATAGCATCCTTCATACGGGGTAGCATCCCAGAGCATAAGTATGGAACAAGACCTATTTTCATTTGTTCTGCAGATTATTATGTATATTTGTCATGTCATGAACATCACCCAATTACGTTTAATCTCCTGTGCAAAGTTTCTGCAATTTTTTTCCCTGCACTCAAAGGTGCATTTAAAAAGAGTTTAGAGGGAGTATTTTCTTTTGAAAATAATGGCACTAGATATTGAGGTTAAAAATGTTGCTTTCACAATCATCAATTCATTTGGAAGCAGTGACTCTGGAAGTTGCTTCATGTGGAAGGTGCATCACGCCATCCCACAGAAACTCCCCTTCAGAAGTAGATCATGTCAGAACAGAGCATTGGTTCCATATCCAAGTCCCGAATATGCATTTTTGACTCCATAAAAATAAATAAATGTATATGGATTGTTTACTTCCACTGGAGAACATTTCCTTTTCTATATTACCTGGGGCCCACTTCTTTATGTCTTAGTCCACCCCAATTAATGGGGAGGAGCCATGTGCTTTCTCTGGCTGACAAATCAGCAGCTGTGCCTTCAGCCACTACTGTCTGAACCTCTGGAACTCCCTGCTTCAATCCCTCCAGCTTGTCCCCTCTTTGCCTGAACCCCACTGTTCAAACACTACCTTGCATGAGGGCGCTATATAAAAGCAAGTTGTTGTTATTGTAGTTTTTGAGCAAAAAGATATATCGTATCCATAAAATCTATATGTAAAAGCATAGAATAGCTGCTTCCACACAGGTAACCCTTGAAGGCTTAATATGCCTGGACAGAGCAACCTCATCCAGTAGAGGTTAATTGCAAAATTGTATTTAATTCTCACTTTGAAGTTACAATCTTAAGCTATTATTTAGCTTGTTCTTGTGCAATATCTTCATTAGCAGTAAACAGCTTTCTGACCATGATTAATATTTTAATTTTCAATGGCTGCATTTAGCGACAGTTAATAAAAAGTTGATCTATGAGTCGATCATTTGAAATCTCATTTTAATTTTGTTCATTCAGTTTAGCGTTTTTCATCTTGTAATTGTGTATTCCATTTGTTTAGTCATTTAAGTTTGCAGTGCTTGAACTTTTCAAATATTTGAAAATCAGAACTAAAAGCTGCATTGTATTTAAGAGTCATGTCAATTGCTCTGTTTTGTGCAGCCAGGCTAATACCACAAATAGATGGCTTTAAATAGGAAATGGGCTGATCATTTATTCTGTTCTGAAATCTAATCGAAAAAGGCTCTATACTATTTGCAAATATTCCACGGGGAAATATTTTGTTGGATAATTTCAGGGCTTTTCATTGTGCTGATGTCACCCAAGTTGACCATAATCATTGAGACATTGCCCTATATAAAGGCAAGTTGTTATTGCTGTTGATTCCTAAAAAGATTCCTTAATAAATAAACCAAAAGCACATTGACAGAATAGTGTGACACAATTCCACCTGCTGGAAGCAATATTCTGTCCTTTACAGAGAAAAGGGGTGTGTCTTTGATTCAGAGAAGAGTTTTAATACATCCTTCTAATCGTGAATGTTGTTAAATAAATGTAACTTGCAATTGCATAACATGTCACATATTTTTATAAATGTTTCTATACTCTGCTCTGATCACACATATTTTGTTATTCAGGAATCGATGGACTGTCAATGGAGGTGTCAAATATTGTCGATATTACGAGAGAACAAAATCGGGAGATGGTCATGAGGCTGGTCACAGATATCAATAGCCAGAATCAGTTCTATACTGACCTGAACGATTTCCAGGTATTTATGCTACATTTGAAACATATGTAAATATTTGAAGCTTTAAAGAGGAACATGTTGGACAGTATTCTTTCTTATTTTTTGGTCAATATCAGCTCTCAAATTTCTCCAACAAATCGTTCCCAGTGACTGACTCACATGCTGTCTATCTTTGCTGTCTTCTATGATCACATGATGGTTGGAAATGTGAGGTCTGCTTTTATATTTGAGTAGAAATGCTTGATGTGTCAACCTTAATTTAATAATCCTTGCATTTGGTGTGGTGTCTTTTACAATGGGAGCACGTCTCAAAAGGCCTCACGGAGCATACAGTAAAGTGTAGTGACTGTGTATTTGTAGGCACAAAATACTCCGATTTGCACACAGCAATGTCACAAAATGCCCATGAAGTGAATGACCAATTTTATTTGAGGGATTGTTGGCCAGAATACTAGGAGAACCTCCCTTTGAATTCACCTGAACAGGCAGACGGGACCTTGGTGTAGAGTCTCATCCCAAGGACTGCACCTCCAAAAATACAATATATCCCCAGCACTGCATTGGGGTGTCATCTTAGGCGAGTGCTACAACTGAGGCACTTTGATTTGTCCAAGCGAAGAGACTTATGCTCTCTTTTGGTGCAAAAAGAATCTTCTTACTTGGCTCTGTTGCTAATTCAGAATAATTCTAAAATCAAGATCCAACAAGATCAAGTGACTTGCTGCAAACTCTCCCAATTATACCGATGTCTTCCCATACTCCAATAAACCTGCAATGGAAGGCACATTATTTTTTGTTAATTTTATACTCAGCTTTTAGTTCTAAACTTGCATTGGAAGTTGAAAAGACCATTTACATGTAGTTGTGGGTTCAAGCCCCATATTGGGACACTGAGCTCACACCTTTTAGGCTGACACTCCAGGGCAGTGCTAAGGAAGTGCCACTGGCTGAGATGCTGTCCTTCGTATGAGACATTAAACCAAGATCCTTCTGCTTGGTGGATGTTAAAGATTCCATGTCACTATTCAAAAAGAGAAAGGAGCTTCTCCTGGTGTGTTCTGGCCAACGATCCCTCAGATGAAATTGGTTATTCATTTCATGGCAATTTGTGTGACATTGCTTTGTGCACATTGCTGTATGTTTGTGGAGTCCTGTAGCTCAGTGGTTAGAGCACTCGCTTTGCAAGCGAGAGACCTGAGTTCAATTCCAGGCAACCTTGGGCAAGTTTCCTTACTCCACACGCCTGATAATAATCCCTCAAAAAAAAATTGGTCATTTCAATCCACGACTGTTTGTGGGACACTGCTGTGTGCAATTGGCTGCAGCATTTCGCCCACACATATTCAGTCAATTCACTTTACAGATTATTCTGTGAAGCACTTTGAGACGTCTTGAAGATGTGAAAATCCTATATTAATTGCACGGATTATTATGTTTTCCTCCAAGTATGGTAACTACACTTTATTGTGCTTCGTGCAATGAAGTGCACCTTGATGTGATGAGGTGTTATATCAAATTCAAGGATTATTATTATTTAAGTTCAGTTCTCTTGAGTCTTTTTCAGAATTTAGAGCCTTAAATTCTGGAATCTAGAAATATTGCTCTTATCTCAGAACACTTCAGTGCTTTAATATTCCTTTAAAGACAAAGATAATCCAGCGTTATTTCAATCACAATCTCACTGTAAAGTCCCCTTTCAAAATTATCTGCTTCCATGTTGCTATAATTTGCAGGTTTTCCAGTTAGTTGTGAATCACAGAAAACCATACCATGTGAATGTTTCTGGGTAGATACACCTGTAATCTGCAGTGTTTAAAAACTTTGAAGTGTTTAGTGTCTTATATTTTTGCTGTGAGAATTACAGCAGAAGTTATGTTGAGCTATAATATCACAAATAAATTTGGATTTGACAAACAAAAGGCTTGTATGAAAATGGGAACGCAACTGAGATTAATGCAAGAAAGACAGATGCTCCCTGTGTTTCTGGCAATTTGTTCACGGGAAGACAGAAATAGGCTGTTTTCTAACAGATAATCAATGGAACTAATCCCCAAACCATCATGTTGACAGACATAGTTTTTGCAAGTGGATTAGTAATTAGTAAATATCCATTTCTAAATTTAAACTTTATTAAGTACTTAGTAATTATTTTGTAAGTAATTGGCTTCAAAAGCTATTTAATTACTAACAGAGCATTAATTTAAATAGAAATTGTCCCAGATGCATTAACGAAAACAAATTTAAAGAATGAATACGTTTTTAGCCTTTAAAACCAATACATACGAGAATTAATCATTGATATAATAGGCTTTATGGTGAATATTTCTGTTTTTGTTTGCATTATTTAAACAGAACAGAATTATAAGTCCATTCTCCCACAAAAAGGTCAAAGGATATTGTGTGATTTATTTTGGTCATTTTGCCTTTCTGGAGCAGATTTCCTCTAGGTACAAAATGCTATCTGTGATTGCACAGATTGTTTATCCTCTTCTGCTCCACATATTGTAGGCACGTAGAAAAGTCACAACAGGCAAAAAAAAACCTTTTAAGTGATTTTGATATCCTTGATATTATGCAGCCAAACTTTTCCCATGCCATATAAAAGCAGTTTTCCCTGAAAAGCCCCATCAATTTAATTTTGTGCCATTGAGAGTTTTTTCTTCGTGATGCCATTCCCATGTCAAAACCCTAAATAGTTTTGCATTCATTGTGTTGTGTGCAGTATGCTTCAGATGGTAAATTATTAAAACGTTCCTTCTGACAATACCACACCTGACTTGTCTATCTGTTACATAAACCAGCAAGGTGAAGCCTCTCTCAGATGCTGCCAAATTCTTTTTCTGATTGGGTACTTAGGTCACTCAATAATCCCTTTAGTCCAACAATACAGTGGTGTCAACAACATGATGGCTCACTCTCCTGATGGTCCTTCGTGTATTTACAGGAATATATTATGCACTCAGAGTGACTTTCGAGGGTTGGGGAAATCGTTTGGCAAACCTGACGGCAACAACAGAAAATCATAGAATAAGACATTTCACATTTAATGATAATTGTTGAATTTGTTTAGTAAATAACATTTGCTTTTAAAATTAGGAGATATTAAGACCTCAAAGATCCCCCTAGTCTATAAGTCCATTTTCATTTTATCTTAACATTTAAGATTATGCACGATCATGGAACATTCATAAACTCAGTCTTAATTTTAAGAACTGTGGAAAATCAATTCTTCCAAATTAAGATTGAATTTAAGAATTTTCTACAATTTTGCATCATCTTAAATTTAAGACAAAATGGTTTTGCTATGTGGTAAATGTAAGTTTTTTTTCAGAAAATGAAAGGGTTTGTGCACTAGGTTGAATGAGCATAGGTGGGCTGAATGGTCTTTGTTTTTTGATAAGAAAGACCAGAGCACCATTTTGCTTCAGATGCAACAGGAATTTAAAATTCCCACTTTATGGTAAAGTAGCAGCTTAGAGAAGCTGTATTATAATGCACAGTTAGACGTAGTTAGATGAGAATCGATAGTTAATGTGCAGTATAAATACATTTTTAGGTATATCAGGTCAATGCTGAGCACCACTCCCAAAACCTTACCTCTCAGAATCAATTCAGTGTCAGGATGAATCGGCTTTTGTTAACATCCAATTCCAATAGAATAATTAAACTTAAAACTTTTTAAAACTGTTTTCCCACCTGCTTGTTTAGGTGGATGATAAAAATCCCATAGCATTACTTGAAAAATGAATGGAGTTTCTCACGGAGTCCTGGTCAAAAATCCCCCAAATAAAATTAGTCATTGGCTGCCAGGTTTGCTTACAAATTTGGGCAGTGTGTTGGGCCTCGATTAATATTATTAGAGTTGCACTCCATCAGTGCTAAGTTGTATATGCAGGAGTAGCAGATATCAAGCCTGCTCAAATCTCTCTACTGTTGGAAGCCTGTCAAATGCCTATAATATGGTTATTGTATGTTCCAATCAATCCCCACTGACTTCCTGGGAAAATTGCATGTAACCAAGTATTTCTAATACATTTTTTAGGGAAAGCGATAACGAAATATATAGACGTAATTAAAGCTGACTAATTTCAATTTCTAACCCCAGATTCAACCACGGCAGACTTTGAGTAAATTACCTCTTCAAGCAAATTTTTACCCTCTGACCACAACTGCATATATCCAGGATAATGGTTTTCGATTGACCCTGCACTCTGCTCAGTCACTGGGAGTTGCCAGCTTAAAGAGTGGTATGTATTATTTACACATTTTTCCTCTAAAGTTTAATCATCTATGATCAAAATGTTTAAACCGTGTAACATATTGGATTTTTAACTATATTCCTGTAGGCCAAGTAATTATAGAGATGCATATCGTAAACAATTTATGATGAATCTTTCTCATCTGCAATGATTGCCTAATAAGACAGCTGCTATGTGTCAGCCTGGTTCAGTTAGTAGTCTTCTTGCTTCTGAGCCAGAAGGTTGTGGCTCAAGCCTCAATTCAGGACTTTGAACTCACATAGTCTAGGCTGACACTCCAATGCAGTGATGGGGATGTGTTGCATTATTAGAAGTGCTGTCCTTTGGATGAATCGTTAAACCAAGTTCCCATTTGCCGTCTTAGAGAGATGTTAAAAATCCCATGGCACTATTTGAAAAGTGAAGGGAGTTTCTTTCGGGGTCCTGGTCAACAATTCCCCAAATAAAATTAGTCATTGGCTGCCTCATTTGCTTACAAATACATAGTCACTACACTTTACAGTAAATCCTCTGAATCGCTTTGAGACATCCTACTGAAGTGAAAAGCGCCATATTAGATACAAAGATTATTTATTATCAGTTGTATTCTGCTGAAAGAAATGTATCTAATAATAATCCTTGCATTTTATATAGCGCCTTATCACGTCTTCTAGATGTCTCAAAGCACTTCACAAAATATACTGTAAAGTGAATTGACTATGTTTTGTGAGCAAATTGCATTTGCATTTATATAACATCTTTCATGTTGGGAGGATGTTCCAAGTTGCTGGATAGTGAAGAGTTTGCATCTGAATTGGAATAAAGAGGGGTTGAGGGCAAGAGGGGTGGAAGTTGGAAGATGACCGAAGACACGGTCGAAGAGGAATGTCTTGAGATGGGCCTTGAAGGAGACAAGGGAGGGGCTCCAGGATGGAGTTCCAGAGGATGGGGATCCAGAGGATGGGGCAGAAAGGCTGAAGACCTGACCACTGATGGTGGAGCAGGCAGAACATGGTACATGGAGCTGACCAGTGCCCGCCGAGCAGAGGGAACAGAGACGTTGATAAAAGTTTTAGTAAGTCGCAGAGTTAGGGAGGAGCAAGACCATGGAGGACTTTAAAGTGCGGTCAAGGATCTTGAACTCAATCCTCTGGGATATGTGGACCAGTGAAGACGGATGAGGAAGTGATGATCGGCTCAAGGAGCTTAGCGCGGTAGGAACACAAGCTGCAGAATTCTGAATAATCTGCAGCTTGTGGAGGGAAGAGTTGGAAAGTCCAGCGAGCATGGAGTTAGCATAGTTAAGTATTTTGTAGTGAAAGTATGGATGAGGAGAGAGGTAGTGGCGGAAGAGGGCAATGTTGCGGAGGTGGTGGAAGGCAGAACGAGTCAAAGCACAAATGTGGGGTTTAAAAGACATTTGGGGATCAAACAAGGCACCAAGATTCCGTATTGCCTTCATCTGACCTCAACAGTTTTACTAGTTTGAATATTTCTATTTTCTGCATCGGTTGTCTTTTATGCCCTCTCCAAAAGTGATTATGGGTTTAGTAATAATCTCCATGCCATCAGGAGGTGGTGCATGTCCCAATTAATTTCACATTGAAACCTTGGTCAGCGAAGAGAAGAATTTTCTCCCATCAAATTGGGCTAGATTTGAACTTGAATCCCAGGGTTAAAAGAAGTGTTCTGGCTCGCTACAACACCTAATTCCCCAGCTTCTACAGCAATAAGCTCACTGACATGTCACAGCTACCGTGTTCAAGTATATCTTCCATGAAGAAATATAAGTAAATGACTTTTAAAAAAAAGCTAACATATTATATTTTGAAAAATGCTATCGCTGGCAGTATATTTAATGGAGCGGGTCAGTCGTGGAGTTCTGCTGACGTTCAAAACCGCCGTACATAACTGTTTAGGGGATTAATTTCCTCCATTCACTAAATGTTGGGAATTTGTTGCAGTGTGCTAAGCTATGATGCTCTGTTTCCAAACTCAGCAAAACTATCACTGTGCACTTGTATTTCCGTTTTAAAGTGTAAATACTGCATTAAATATATAAATATGGAGTGGAATCATTTGCTACATTTATCCTTTGCTTAATGTATCATGTTTTGGATGACACTTTAACAGAAGCCCGTCCGGTCTGACTATTCTGGTTGGACATTAAAGAACATCCTACAAAAACAACAAAAATACATTTATATAGGCCCTTCATGGGGAGTAGCATCTTGGAGCGCTTAATAGTGGTGGAACTTGTCACTGTGGAGTCCCGTAGCTCAGTGGTTAGAGCACTCACTTTGCAAGCGAGAGACCTGAGTTCAATTCCAGGCAGAGGGCGAAACCTTGGGCAAGTTTCTTTACTCCACACAGAGCCTAATAATAATCCATCCAAAAAAAACAATAATAAATTGGTCATTTTCAATCTACGACTGTTTGTGGAACAATTTTTTAATTGTGAAAAATAATTAAATTTCAATGCCATCATTTAAAACAAGAAAGGAGTTATCTCTCCCAGTGTCCTGGCCAGCAATCCTTCAGTTATCATTCATTTCATGGATGTTAGTGGAACCTTGATGTGTGCGAATTGGCTGTGATGTTTGCCTACAAATATACAGTCACTACACTTGATAACAATTATCTGTGAAGTGCTTTTGAGAAATTCCAATATTAAATGTAAGGATTTTTTTAAATGATTATTGTTTAATGGAACACAATTTGTGGAACACAATCCCATTTGTCTCATGCTGCCATAAATATTTAATTAAATCACAAATTTGTAAGTTAATAACAACAGACGAATACAACGGACAGATACCCTGGATTTATTTCTATTAATTACAGTTTTTCTAGAATTCAAATTGAGCAATCAATAAGGAAAACAAGTGTGCACCATTTTAAGTTATCATGCAATCATAGAATTATACAGCACAGAAGGAGGCCATTCGGCCCATCTGGTCTATGCCGACTCTTTGAAAAGACCTATCCAAATCAATTCCATTCCCCCGCTCTGTCCCCGTAGCCCTGCAAACTTGTCCTCCCCAAATAATTATCAACTTCTCTCTTAAAAGTTGTTATCGAATCAGCTTCCATTACCCTTCCAGGCAATACATTCCAGATCCGAGCAACTCGCTGTGTGAAAACATTTCTCCTCACTTCCCCTCTATTTCTTTTAACAACTATTTTAAATCAGTGTCCTCGGGTTACCGACCCACCCGCCAGTGGAAATAGTTTCTCCTTATTCATCCTATCGAATCCCCTCATAATTTTTAAAACTTCTATTAAGTCTCCTCTTAACCTTCTCTGCTCCAAGGAGAATAATCCTCGCTTCTCTAGTCTCTCTTGATAATTGAAGTCTCTCATTCCTGGTACCATCCTGGTAAATCTCCTTTGACCCTCTCCAATGCCTTGACATCCTTCCTAAAGTGTGGTGCCCAGATCTGAATGCAGTACTCTAGCTGAGGCCAAATTTGTTATATTTTTGGATTACTAGTTTCTGGTTAAATATCTGGTTTAACTTAGTCTTATAAAATACCTGAATCTGAGGTACTGTGTTTGACAAAAATGCCTATGTACAATAATTATCTTTTGGATAGGATCCCTCTGCAGATCCATCTATACAGTATAAAAATTAGCGTAGGCTACTATGTAAGGTCAACTGTAATATTGCTGCCTGAATTTGCTGACATTCACTAAAAAAAGTTTAGACATTGCATCAATACAAGAGTAAATGGTAACTACATATGTGAAATCAACAGATAAGAAACCAATTTGCAGTGGCAGCCAAATATTATACAGGTATTGACTGGTATTTCATTGTTGTACCTGTGTAGATCTTCCTGTGATGAATATAAAGTAGCAGAAGCACTTCAGCAGATAATAACCTAATCAATGGCATATATTTACCCTCGGACAATTGTATTTTTTTTTTAATTCGGCTTTGCTGGATACTTGTCTTTTTCATATGTGGATGATTCTGGTTGACAAACACAACTGCACCAACCTCTTCATTGCACATCTATCAATGCTCCTCATTTAATTCTATCCTATGAAAAAACGAAATAATTGCTCTACTTGAAAACACATGAAACGGCTGTGGAGTAATTTCATCTTCATTTTAACAAGCCCAATCAAAAAAATGAATGTCTACATCGAGCCAGAAAATACAGAACACACAGGAGGCTTCCTGACTGCTGCAAAATCCATCGTTGATACATTCCACCTCCAGTTACTGTACTGTTCACTCATGTGAAATTAATAATAATAATCCTTACGTTTGATATAGTGCCTTATCAGGTCGTTTAGACATCTCAAAGCGCTTCACAGGATATACTGTAAAGTGGTTTTGACTGTGTGTTTTGTGGGCAAAAAAACACTAATAATTTTAATGCATAGAATTACATAGATTGTCCAACACAGAATCAAGACATTTGACCCAAACAGTCTGTTCTAGTGTTTATACTCCTTATGAGTCTCCACTTACTCCTTACTCCCTTCTATTCCCTTCTCCCTCATGTGTATATCTAGCTAACATCCAACAAATAACTATAAAGCGAATGACCAATGTTATCTGGGAGATTGGAGATCACGACACCGAGGAAATATTCCCTTCTATTTTTGAATAGTGCCATTTACCTCCTCGTCCTCCTGGATCTTTCTGCCGCGTTCGACACAGTTGACCACGCCATCCTCCTCCATCGCCTCTCCTCCCTTATCCACTTTAGTGGGATCGCACTCGCATGGTTCGAGTCCTACTTAACCAACTGCCTTCATTTCATCTCAGCAAATGATTTCTGCTCCTGCCCTTGCCTGGTCACATGTGGGGCACCCCAGGACTCCATCCTTGGCCCTCTTCTTTTCCTCATCTATATGCTCTGGGCAATGTCATCCGCCTACACGGGGTAAACTTCCACATGTATGCGGATGACACGCAAATCTACTTTGCCTCCTCCAGTACCAACTCCAGACCTGCCGATGTTCTATCAGCTTGTCTGGCAGACATCAAAGCC